ATTTAAGATAAATTTCCCTTCTTCTGGCGAATTTAGGCCGCAGCCGGAGGTGAAACGAAGTAAGTTGTAAATGAAATTTGAAATTCCTTCTTGGTCACTTGGTTTCAAAAAGAAAAAAAATATTGTAAACCGTCCCTAGATATTCAATCGATTTCGAAACAAAGCAATCCTAGAATGTGGGGTCTTATGGTGCGCGTACTAATTTACGCACTTGCCATTAATCACCTGGTTGCGCTGGTGAAGGACCATTGATTGATTGAATACTTCAAAAGTGAACTGAACATTTGTTGTTGTTGCATGACACTCGTACATATGCCTTACGAATACATACTCATGCTCCTTACGAATACATACTCATACTCATACTGTTTTTCTCGCCACGGGTGGCGTGATACGCACAACTACCGCGCATGCGCATACAGTCGCATAGTTGCGGCTAATTTAAAGTTCGAGTTTGAGATCGGACAGATCATAAAAATTTTTTATCAAAATTTACAAAAACGCCAGTATCCTATATAAACAGTATCATTAATAGTTAATTATTAAGTGAAAGAAAAAAACCTAGTGATATTTAATCTCGGCCTCCGTAGACATGCGATATACAGTATGCAAAGGATGGGTTGATTCCAGTAAAAAAAATATTCCAAGCACCGAATTCATCAAGTGCAAAACCTGAAATTCAAGGATATTTGTAAGGGTAACTTTTAAAAGTGGTATATTTATACGAGGGTCCCTTGAAAAGTTTCTTAAAAATGGCGGCACTAGTTACTATGAGCTAGTGATCGTAGTTGTGCACCTCTTGATGCTAACATATCAAATCTTCAGCCAGTTTTGGATGCGTTGTTTTTAATTGAAAGTTGTTTGAGTGAGTCGATGTGAGTGTTTGTTATAAAATATTTGTCTTTTTAAAGGCAATACGCCTACGCAAATTAAAGTTGAGTGGGACTATGTATTTGGGGTCTCTGCAGCCTCATTTACAACAGTGAAATTTTGAACAGGTTATTTACACGTGACCGTAAGCGCTTAGGAGATTATGAACGTTTGGTACGTCCAAAAACTGTAACTACCGACGATAATATTGCTCAAGTTCATCAAATGGTGTTAAACGAGTGTCGAGAAAGATAGTAGAGGTTAGTCCGAAGAAAATGTTTGTCACATTTTAAATGAAGATTTAAGCATGAGGGAACTGTACGTTTACCGTTTGCTCAAGTTTGAATGTTTCACATGCTCTGTTAACGCCGGCCGTTTGGGCGCAATAAATCCGAGTTCTGGCGCCGATTAATTACTGTAGATGAAACTTGAATACCCCATTATACGCCCGAATCAAAAATACAATGATAACAGTGGAATGCGAAGGAAAAACCGAATCCGAAAAAAGCAACAACTGTTTTTACCTTCAAAAAGGAAAAACCATTACGTCCAGTTACACCAAAGGAGCGCGCCGCCTCATACTTCACGAATTACGGTTTGAACTTTTCTGAAAATTGAACTCGGAGGACAAAAATTCTCGTCAAATGAGGAGGCAATCACCTTCGTGAACAATTATTTTGAGGAGAAAAACTCTGGCTACTATTTCGACGGGTTAGAGAGATGGGAGCATCACTGGAAGACGTGTATAGAGTTACCAGGAGACTATGTAAAAAAAATAAAAAATGAGAAAAAATTTCTTCTTCTATCATTGTTAGGTAGGGAACTTTTCTAGTGGCCCTCGTATGCTATTAAAAAATACAAAAAATTCGTGCCTTTAAAAGTACATCTAAAAGTAATTTCGTAAATATTGCCTATTATACTATAGATAAAAATCTAAATTGCACTAATTACACTCTGAGCTATTGCCTTAATACATTTATTTAATTTTAACACATTTATTAATTTATTTTCTTTTTATATATTGGTCAGTATTAAATTATTTGTCCCTTTTCTATTTTTATGCAGATTTCTACTAAGATTTGATAATTGACATTGTCCTATACTTTGTAAAAGGTCGTTGGAAATATTTTTTTTCCAATTTTCTAATTAAAAGCTGAAAAATTGAGGATTCTTACATTTGCATACCAAATAACATAAAACTCATAGTAATTAATGACGACTTTGAGAGCGAAACAGAACTAGAGTTGAATGCAATTCTTGACAATAGCAGCTAATCTGGTATGGCTGTGACAAAGTATACAAAATTGGTAATCTATACTTAAAAGTATTTAAATTACTTCGAAACAAAATTACGATATCTAGCTCTAGCGTCAGCGAGTTTGTTGACGCTCAACCAAAGGAGACAAATTTTTAACGCAGCGCCAAGTCTTCAAAACTCAATTAACTGCTCAACAAATTTGTCTCTAAAAATCCTCGAATTAGTGCCACAACTTTGGTATATAAATTTCAAATTGCGGTCGGCGATAGCGGGAGCGGATTCAAATGAGTTTCTCAACTCGCTTCGCAAAAACAACCTATTTGTTTAAATAACTATATAACATGGAACAGCAGTGATAAACATGTGGAAAGTTGTCGTTATATCACGAATAAATGGTGGCATTTCCGACAACGACGCCAGCGTACGTTTCCGGTATGAACTCCATTTCGAAAAACCAGCTTTTCGGTTTGCGGTTTTAAACTTTCTACATCGCGATCGAGTAGAAAACGGAAACTGAGCCCTGATTTTTTGAAAAGTGTTTTTGCTGTTTTGTTAGTTACAACTTATACATTGCTTGATTCCACTTAAGAGCTCGACTCGATATCAACATAAAAAAACAACCCCGCTGAGGGTTTTGGCTTCGAAAGTCGCCTTATATTTCAAAACATCGAGGATCATCGAGACGCGAGTACCCTGTTAAAAGCCCTCTACTTAAAGGAATCGCTTTTATTAAGTTCGGAAGCTCAAAGGAGCTTCGCTTGTGAAACGCACTCATTTCTGGAATGTCGGAAAGTGGCGAACGAAAAGATTTAAGCGATGACAGCTTTTAATCGAACCAGACGTTTGAAGCAATCGTTAACTAAAAACCGAGGATTTTATAATTTCTAGGTAAAAGGAGATATATAGGGTGTAACAAATTTTGTCCCTACTCTTTTAGTAGCTCAATACGAACTATTGATTTACACAGCTTCCATGCATTGAAAGTCGCATGCAAAAAATCCAGAACATCTGTTCCCGATTCGTTTATGGTCTGAGAAAGTTTGATCTTATGTCAGGAAAAATATTTGGGTTGAGTTGGATCAAAATCAAACGCCTCTTTCAATTTTTACTAGGAATTCTTATATTTAAGGTTATGACATACTCAAAGCATTGTTTAGTGTTTTGGTATGTAATTCGCAGTGCTCCTTCAAGAGCGAAAAACATTCTTAATATGCTCCAGCAAAATTCTTGTAAATTTAACGTTTTGACCGAACAATTCTAAGAAATATTTTGAGTCCATTAGGGGTTTCATATTTAGAAATTAAGGTTGATTTTTGTAGAATTACAGAAGTCTCTATACTAAACAAACTATTATTCTAGCAATAACGAAATTTAGATTCTTATTGTTATTATTAAGTTGTGTCGATTAATTATAATAATAATTAATTCACCAAAATTTGACTATGTAAGTATATTAGTTTATACTGGTATAAATTGGTTAAAAGTTAAAAATTTGTACAAGCATTTAAAATATCTCAATAAAGACTTTTATTATTATTATTAATATTAATATGCATTTTATTATATTTTAATAGTTGAAAATTTTTAGAATAAGCATTTTTTTCTTGTAAACGGTGTTTCCCTGAAGATCGCGTTAAGAAAAGTACCTTAACAACTTCGGCAAGAAATATAATTTGAAAATTCGGATAACTCAGCCTTTTCAATATATCAAATATTAAAATTATAAGGAAAGTAACAATACGTTGAACAATTGCGTTTTAATTATGTTCGTACATTGTACTTGATGTGCTTTGTTTTAAAATATTGTTTATGTGTTTATTCCTTTGGATTTTGTGCTTCTAAGTCCGTATAGTGTTCACAGTTCCTGTCTTATTGTAATTGAGGATGTTGACATTACTTTAAAAAACTGTTTGCGTTTGCGTTTACTTTTAGATTTTACTTTTGTATCAACCTGTAATTTAACTGTGTATTTTTTCTATGTAGAAATGGACGTAAAATTAATAAGCAATTTATCTAAACTGTTGATCTTACAATGTTGTATTGCTAAAATCATTTTCACTATTTTCATAGATTTCGTACAACTTTTTTTTTATTAAGTTTGTAAATATTTTTTTTTAACTATATACAAATTCTGTACATATGCTGACTGTTTTATTAAGGGTTTTTAAATACATAAAAATAATTTTTGGAATTGCAAAATATTTCAAAATAAAATTAAATAATTAATTTAATATATATTTACCGGCGTAGTGCTAGTATCAATATTCTTCTATTCTTTTCTGTTTCTCTAATAAACGTAATTTCATTAAAATATACAATACAATATACAGGATGTCTCGCGGTTGATGGAACATTAGACGCTTTGGGAAAACGAAACGTAGTAACTTATTGGAAATTTGGTCACATATGTCTCCTCTATTTTTTTTAAATAGAACAACTTATATATTGTTTCATTTTTTCCTTCGCTGTCATTTTTTGATAATATTTGTAAAGTATTGCCTTTTGCCTATTTTATGTATTTTTTGGCTGCAATAGTCCGCAATTTAGATTCATATTAATAGGTTAGTTAGTTAAAAATGTTAGAAGCTGGGCAAACTTTTAAAAACTCTTTTTTAATAATACACGATGGAGGGATTAAAAGACAAAAATGTAGAATTTATATTCGTTTTTTAGAAATGTTTGTCTTTTAATAAATAGCTAATCATAAATTTATTCATAATTTCATATTTCTTCACTATCATCGTTTTAATTATTGCTTCCATGATGACAGAGATAAGTCTTTGATTGGTTAGCATCATTTAATATAATTGCTTCTTGCTACAATATACTGAAACTTAAATTTATGACCCTGAGTAACATTTCTTGTACTCACCGCATAATTTCGTAGGTTTGTTGTGTGCCCTGGATTGATGGTGTGTTTCGTTCACCTCGTAGAAGTGAACGAACCCTCTTCCGCACGGAACATTGAGTCGAATTAGTTCGACCACGAGGCCGTGACCTTTTTTAGTTGAAGGGAACCAAACCCGGCACTCCTGGAATCCGGGGATGTTTTTTTGCGTCACCGCGGCAGAGTCTGGCTTGAGAAACAGTTTACAATCTGCAACAGAGTTAGAATCTAATATGCTGTAATTAAAACAGCGGGCTACAATTGAAAATTCAGAAGAGGATTTGTTCTAAATACATTGTTATTCAAATTACGGTCGTAACGGTTCGTGAATTTTCTATATCCAAACCTAAGTAGCTTACGATGGATTAGCTAAAGTTTTACAACCCTTATTTTTGAATATAATCAGGCGGAAACTCGGGTCGTGGTTGTCGAAACTTTTATGACAAAGCCGAAGTTTCAACTTGGTTTGATTTTATAGAGCGTGAGTTCTGGAGGGCTGTAGCCGGAATATTGAATGCTCTCGCAATATTTTATTTTTTCCGACTAACTGGATCAATTCGAGCACTAGAAATAGCAAGTTTTTTTTTCAGATTTGTTTGTTTGTATATTGCACATATTGCGTATTGGATGACTGGATTTCATTTTACAAATAAAACTCAGCCACTAATTATATATACGAAATTTAATTAATACAATATATAAATAAAGTAATTTCATATAATAACGAAAACTATATTATTATTATCTTATAATTTAGAAATAAAAAGTAAGTCAGTAACTAATTTTGGCATTTCCTTTATTTCGTTGTCACAAATATTTAAAATGTAGTTTTGATTCCGAAATTAAAAATGGAGTTTAATATATATTTATATTATATGACGCGTTGATACTGCATGTCAACTTAAGAATCTTGCAAACGTTGTGAGAAACGCATTAGATTACAGCTCTAACGGGAATATTACTATGTTTACCTTTTACATGAAATAAAAAACATTGGTTAAATGTACGTTCTTATGTAAATACTTATATTTTCGTTTTAAATAATACATCTGAAAAAAACATACTGCTATGTTCTGACCAATATATTTTTGAAACTCTAGAAAATATTTAACTAATTGAAATTTATAAATTGCTAGCTAAAACGCATATCTCAGTAATCCGGATTGCTGGATAAAACATTAGAGTGCAAAGGAAACCATAACATTTTTAGTGTTTGACACCACAGATTGTTGCATTCTTGTTATTTAATTTAGCTATATGGGAGAATCACGGTTATATAACGAGAATCCTGAAGTTGAAGCTGCCTTATACGATTGGTTTTGGTTCTTTCAGATTAAAATATCTGAACAAAACTTAAACATTTCCATATTTTTATAACAGAACTTAACTGGATGACACCAGGATGATTGGGGAAATGATAGCCAGTTAGACTCAACAACCACCGACGCAGGAGAAATCCAGAAGTTTTGCAAATAGTCTTCCATACCTTGGGAGAAAACGCTATAAATACGGAAATGGCGCTTAGTGTAAAGAAGTCTTCATCCAGTCAAGTGCTTTTATAGTTGTAATAACATCCATGTTTGATTATTTTTTATAATTTTATTCTATTAGTCAATCGTTACAGGTCAATTTCCGGATTTATATATGTTCGAACTGCTGACGTTGTACTGTGTATGCTTTTGTATGGTCTTAACTTTTTTCAAACATTTCAACAAAATCCATCAAATAATAACATGTAAATAATTTTATGAAAAAGTAATCCATTACACAATTTATATGAATGGTCAAGAGTTTCCATTATTTTCCTCAATATAATAATGGGGCTCTCTGTCTTTTTCCATTGTTCAATTTGACTTACTTTTCCATTATAAATCAAACCCGTAGTTAAGTTTATAAAAAGCGTTTAGTAATTTTGATAACCTTCGTTTCCTCAAAGGCATTTCCCATTTCAGCGATTCAAAAAATTAGTTCTGAGTAAGAATAAATTTAATAATATAATTTCAATCCGTGCATGAGCCTTGGAGGTTTCATCGAGAACAATCCGTATAATTCTTGATTTAATTTTGCAAATCGATATATTGGTTGATTTTGGATACATTGTCCGATTAAGCAGAAGTGACGTCGCCTTTCTGCACATTCTTTCTTAGAAAGCGGGACTAGAAAATGAGAAATCCACAAAATAATCGATACGATAATTTTATTATAAATGAAGAAATGGAAATCAATGTTGTGGGATACGTCAACGTAAATCAAGCTGCGTCGCAAAGAAAAGTGGCATTAGAATTAAACATTTCAAGGGAATCAGTGACGAGAATTTAAAAAAAGCACGACTATCATTCTTTTAAATATAACCTTCATCGACATCTTTATGAAGCTGACTTTGAAATAAGACTTCGATATTTTAATTGGCTTTAATAGTTTCGTTAACTTAACTTTGTTCACTGATTAGTCACGATTCTCAAATAATGATATGTTTAACCGACAGAACAACAGACACTGGTCTTTAAATAATCAAAGAATTAATCGTCCGGGACAGTTTCAAGAACATTTGGGCAGGAGTGATAAGAACTCGAATTACTGGTCATATTTTTTTCATGGTGCCTTAACTGGTGAACGATAGTTGCAATTCCTAAGAAATGAAATTAAAGACAAGATAGATGACTTACTTCTTGCCGTGACATTAAATATGTATTTTCAGCAGGATGTTTATGGGGATAGACTAATCTCAGCAGACAGACAGAGTCAATTGGCCACCAAGGCCACCGGATTTGACAACGTTAGATTTTTTTGTTTGGGTTACGTGAAATACCGCGTTTATGTAACTTCAATGTTTGACTTACAAGAATTACAGCGGAGATGCATTTGATAATATAACTCCAGAAATGTTAGCGAATGTAATTTCTAAAGCTAGGGAGTGTCATATACAAGAAGCAGGACATTTTGAAAACATTTTATTAAAGCTTCATATTAAAATAACTTGGTTTTTAAGTAAACGTCTATTGCACTTATTTAATTCAAATAAATACAAAATTCCAGTTGCAAAATAAATGAATGTGACGTTTTGTGTCAATATAAAGCTAATCTTTCAGTAACACACGCTGATATACCACTTTCAAATCGATTCTACCGACATTGTTGAGGTTTAATTTTCAAACATATTTTCAAAATATTGTGTTGAATTATCCCAAAAAGTGACAAATTTGAAAATAAAAAAAATCTATTCTCTTTTTCTACTGAGTTTCTGGTAAAAAGTGCTTCTAACTTATGACGTAAGTATACATACCATACTCACGTTGGTTTTTGACTGTATTCCCGTATTCCAAAAGCATATCAAATTTTTGCAATAATAAAACACTTTCAACAAAAAATTCTAATCGTTGTATCTCAGAAGAAACTCCTTGAATTTATTTTTTTTTAAATACAAATCTGTTTTTTTCTTTCCACTGTATGAGCTTGTCGAGAGTTTCTTCTGCATTTTTAATCTTACTAACTTGACAATTAATAATGAATAAAAGCAAAGCCACCCAAGTAATATTTTGTTTTTATAAAAGTGAATTTACTTATCTGGTGACAAATTTGAAAAGAAAAAAAATCTATTCTCTTTTTCTACTGAGTTTCTGATAAAAAGTGCTTCTAGCTTATGACGTAAGTATACATACCATACTTACGTTGGTTTTTGACTGTATTCCCGTATTCCAAAAGCATATCAAATTTTTGCAATAATAAAACACTTTCAACAAAAAATTCTAATCGTTTTATCTCAGAAGAAACTACTTGAATTTATTATTTTTTTAACCTAAGTAATATTTTGTTTTTATAAAAGTGAATTTACTTATCTGGTTTTTTTTCCTTCCTGTGAGCTTATTTTTTAACGGATTTTAAAAATGTTGGTGTCAATGTTGCAAAAAAAGTATCGGTTTTAAAAAGTTTTTAGTCCCACTAGATTCGCTCCAAAAATTGCAGAATGCTTGTCTGAGGTTCGCATATGGTTTGCGGAAATTCGATCATATCAGTCAAAGTTTCATTAACTCGGGATGGTTTACTATGCAAGAAAGGTTTGAGATTAACTTTTGCCGTTTTTTATATAAAATTCTACTCCATCGCGAACCTATCTATTTATATGAAAAGTTGGTTAGAGGTGTCCATACCCATAACAGGCTAACTCGTAGTCGTGAATTCCTTAGGGTACCTAAGCATCGTACAACCTTATTTCAATGTTCTTTTACGTACCAGGCCTCTAAAGGTTTTAATAAATTACCTTCCACTGTCAAATGTGCCCCCACGATCTCAATTTTCAATGAAAGGTTATTTATTTTCTACCGTTCTATTAAACATGAGTAATCTTATACTACAGTAATCTGTGACAATCGTACATTACTCTCGTTGTAATGATATACTTTGGTTATTTTGTTATTCTCTTAGTCTGTGTTTTGGATATTTTATAAGTTATTTGGTTAATCTGGTGGTGTATGAACAACTCTGTTGAATACCGCCACCTGCTTTATAAGTTTTTGTAAATATTCTGTCAACGTGAATAAAGACATATTATTATTATTATTATTAAATGGAGTGTTCCCACTTTCTTGTGTCGCCTGCTATAAAAATTCGAAAAATCAAGGAAATTGGCGATTAAAAAAAAACAAAAATAAATCAATCATGTTGAATTAAAGTAGTAATTAGTCTATCCAAAATCACAGCAAATTCCGGTGGTCCACTAAAAAGCTGCGAAAAAGTTGTTCTCCGTAAAGACGTTATTGTCGAAATATTCCAAAATTTAGGCCCCGTAAAATTATATTTCTGGCTGGATTTTCAAGCGACGTTCTTTAAATTAAACGTCGTCATTTAGGAGAAGGGAAAACAAACGACGGAAAAGCGCGAAAATGACGAAAAACGCGGCACTTTCCTTTTGATAAATCGCTTTTCGGCAGCATAAGTTGGCGCTAAAAAGATTTTTATCCTAATTGCTTTTTCAACTCCCTCATTTGTCAGAACCAGGTGAAGTCCTGTTTCAAAGCGTTCCGGCAACCGATCACCACGTTGGTTTAAAGTTTCGGTTTGGAAATATTTGGCGGTTTGACTGAGCGCATTCGTTCGCACGGGATCATTATTATTTCCCGCTTTGTCTTGAAGCGAGAATTATTTTGAATATTTATGGATCATGCCCGAGTTACATAAAACTCGGGCTCCAAATGATACATTAAAATATGTTGGAAGAATGAATGGACAAAAACCATGGACAAAAATAATGACCTCCAAGTAGTTGGTGTTTTTTCAAAAAAAATTCAGTTATTCCTCAAGTATTTTTAAGAAAAAATTTCAACTGAACAACTGATTGCAATTGATTCGTTTGCCAGGTAGGAAGTTTTTGTTTTTTTTTGACGTAATTTTAATATTCCTTTAAATTTTTCTAGTCGCAGTTTTTAAAAAACGTAGGTAATTTTTTGTGCTAAATATTTGAAAAAAACTTATGTAAGGCGTTTAGACAGAATATTTTGGAAGGGAAACAAGGAACGCCAGTTCTTTCAAAAATAAGAACCATTTTCAGAATTTACATTCAATTTGGAAGTAAATCACGTCTCCCGTTTTTTTTTGGTACAACGCACAGAACAATTAATATATATATATATATATATATATATATATATATATATATATATATATATATATATATATATATATATATATATATATATATATATATATATATATATATATATATATATATATATATATATATATATATATATATATATATATATATAATATTTTCATATTGTTGATTTGTATCGAAAATGAGTTTCGCCAATTTTTTCCCTTAAGTAACTGACATTAACAATTGAAATTTAAAGCTAAACATTATTAGTAAAAATTTTGATACTTTTACTTGATGAAAATCCATTTATCGAAATAAATAAGAACTAAAAGTTCAGATTTTCACGAAATTATATATTTTGACATGACAATTGTTTCGACAACACTGCACATTTGATAAAGACGCGGTGTTGTCGAAACAATTGTCATGTCAAAATATATAATTTCGTGAAAATCTGAACTTTTAGTTCTTATTTATTTTGAAAAATTTTGATTTCTTTTTTGATCTTTTCATTGCTTTGAATTTCAATCACCTTGTAGATAAAACTTGTTAAAGTAAAAAATACAGTGTACATAGGATGTATAATTAATTGAATGCCGATACTTAAGAATTTGAATCCTTAGATGATTTAAGAGGAAAAGATAATATCAACACATATCGTAAGCATCTAAATTTTTTACTTATTTGTTTATAATTTAGGTTGCATCGCTGATAGAATTAGAAAATGAATTTTTGGGACAAAAATAAATGCGTCTAAGACAAATTTCAACAATATGTCAGAAGCAGCCTCAATAAATGCAAGAAAAAAGGATTTAACGGTTTTTTATTTTTTAACCTAACAAAGGTTTAAGTATGTTCAATTGTTGTTGTGTTGTTAAAGACATAAAAGGAATGAAAACTATATACATTAGTCATTGTGCATTTTATTTAAAATATGTCAACTTTTGTAAACTTTGATAAAAAATTATATAAATTAATTGTACCACCTCAAAGTGGCAAATTACCAATAATAAGTATTTTAGACAATATTAAGTTTTTTTGGGTATGCACGTAAAAAAATATATTTAACTTTTTGAGCATAAAAATGTTCTTAATTACTTGTAAGCTTTTATCAACGAAACAAGATTTTATGGAGTTTTATATTAAATATTGTCCCGCGTTGACAAAAAATATAAAGAAATTATAACGAGTAAAATCACATTATTAACCCAAAAAATGTTGGGGGATAAAATAATTTTTGGATGAGACAAAACAGTCTTCTTCGTTAGTCGGTTTATGCGTGCTTTAGTATTAGTTTGTATTTACATGTCGTTGTCTCTAAGTAAAGTGAAAAACGACATTTATTGAAATATTTATATGCAATGAACTGAATCGAATCGCTTCGCTATAGAACATATATTTTAACTCACCTCGCGTTGTGGGAAAGCTGTAAATCTGCTCGTACACGGTCGGGTCCTCCCCAATCACATAATTTAACCTGAAAGAAAATTTTAACTGTAAATGGAGGTATTTTTCACTGCGCTCGCTACATTATTGCGGCTAGTCCTTAATAGATATTTATTTAGATAGAAAATTATTGGAGCAATAATGCGGAAAAAGTTTAAAATTGAAAGTTGGTCAGACCATTCACACAAAAATTATGTACGTACATAAATATTGTCAATGTTTTGAGGGATAGTTCATATAAATTTGGAGTTTATAGTTTTCAACATGGACAGATTCTCCCAGGTTGATCTTAAGTCATGACGTAGATGAGATGTAACGGTCTCTAAGGGCACTAAGATTTAGGAGACTTTCTTTGTGATCACTGGTTATTTTTAAAGTCCCAGTGCTCCTGCGACATCTATGGCGACGATATACAACCCACAACATTTCCCCCAACTTGTCGTATGCGATCTCGGTCAAATTCGTTTTAAAATATTCCATTCCAGTTTGTAATGTTTTCTCTAATACAACGTTTAAGAGAATTGGTCCTTAAGGTGCCAATTAATTATGATTATTGTACATCAACTGAATGCTGACTTTGTTATGAAATAATGTAAACTAGTGTACAAAATAATCGATAAATTTCGTAAAAGTAATACTAATCTTGTAAATAACGCAAATTGCCATTGAATAAGTTAATAGATTGTCCCACGATCTATTCCATTTGAATTGTTTAGTGGGATATAATGAAATCCAGTACTAGTGCATTCTGCCTTTGTTTTGGGGTTACTGTTCAAGATTCTAATCCATAACAACTCATTAGTTTTCTTTATTGATGTTCTTAAAATAAATATGGATTTAAATAAACAAAAATAAGACGCTTTCATTAACCAACAGCGTTAACTTCTTAATTTGTAACTTCACAAACATACAACGAGATCGGACGAATTTAAAGAAGTATGACTACATTTCTGAAAGGTTCGCTTTCATAGATATAAGAACGTGATCAATTGGTTTTGAATGGGATTATCCAAGGGTGGTCATTAACATACAATGCAACAAGATTATTACCTAGAGTTTCGGAAGTTAAATTCAGGTAAAATTGTGATCCGTAATAGAAAATAATTTTATACCTACCTGCGTTTAATATTCTTTTGTTTTGGTTTGTTTGGACAAATGCAAATTTTAATGGAATCTTTTAGAATTTCCCCGTGTTAACTCCAATGTCCTCAAACTTATAGAAACCGAAGTTTTTAACATCCCTCCACAAAGTTGAGCAAATTCTGTTAAACATATAGAAAAAGCAGAACAATCGTATATCCATATTGCAAATAATATAGAACAAATAATAATAATAATAATACTGATATATTATGTTAATAATTTTAAGTTATTTAAGTAGGTAATAAAAATAATTTATAATTTTATTTTAGATTTAAACATAAATACGGGTCTTTCCTTAATTCGTATCAGTTAGTCACTTTCTCATATCTATGAACAGACTTTAACTTTCACCAACGCACAGAACAGCCCTAACCAACAGCTCCTATAGTGGATAATATTAAATTTCTCTGCAAAGAACCAGAGTTGTCGTAGAAGCGTCAATACAGCGTTGTAACCTGCTTATGCGCAGTTTGGTTGTATCCAATCCAACTAACTTTTGTTATATCTCTGGTAGTTATGTCCTAGGCAACAGGGGGGTTATATAAAATTTCCATGCTTTATTTGTTAGTGGGATAGTCGGGCAAGAGATAGACATTGGACTCAAATAGAATGGCCCTCTAGAACAAGTCTTGCGCCTGGTAGCAAAAATGTATTAAGAGATTGACCCCAAAAAGGTTTTACTGCTTCCTCTTCACATCAAACTTGGCTTGACAAAGCAGTTTGTTAACGGTCTAAAGAAAAATAGACAGTGTTTCAAATATTTTTGCGAGAAATCTCCAGCCATATCTGATAAAAGACCAGGATTTTCAAAACACTATGACCAATGTCGACAAAAACGCCTTGGTTTTATTTAAAGAAGTAATTGGTAAGTTTCTTGGGAACTCTAAGGACAAAAACTACGGTTCAAAATATGTTACAACACTTTCATCGTCTAGGATGTAATATTTTGTTTTCACCTTTCAACTATTTTCCTGAAAAATTTGGAGCAGTTAGCGAAGAACAGGGAGACAGGTTTGACCAAGACATTAAAGAAATGGAACGGCGATACGAAAGGAGATGGAGCATAACGACGATGGCGGACTACTGCTGGATGTTAAAACCGGATATGCTTTTAAAAACATACAGCGAAAAAGAGGGTGGAGAGGTTCCACTTCTTTACTGAATAAAATAATTAATTATTTTAAAAATATTGTTTTATTTTCCTTAAATTTTTGCAAAAAAAAAACCTTCAGTGATACAAGAAACGCCTAAAATTTTTGAAATCAGCCTACCAAAATTATATAAAGTCGGTTTTTAAAATAAAAGTAACTCTCAAAAAGTTAAATTTTCTAGTGTTATTTGCAAACATATGACAAAAATGTAACCTTTTATTACATTTCACGTAGCCAATCAACCGACAAAACATTATAAATATCTCGCAGCGCATACCTGGCGTTGTAATTTCCATGGCATACGGCACAGTTATCGAGATCTCCTATAGAAACATTAAAATTTGCCCGTCCTGTACACTCCATCTCCCGAATGCAAATGTGAACGCGTATCCGCTCGGTCGTCATGATCCAGTAGCGGCAGGAACCTCGATTACAGCCTTGTAGTAAATCGCTCTTGGCATCATAAACGCTAATTGGTTTTTATTTTGTACCTCGTCTTGGGGTTCGGTCCGACAGAATGTTATTGGTGTTAATAAAATAAACTTATGGTTCAGTGCACGGTGGATATCAAATCTTTCAAACGCGCGAGAGTGCGATTCTTCACCCGTTAATTTTGGGACGAGGAGAGTCGAAGAAATAGAGAAAACGCAGATTCGAATTAGCATGTAGACTCCCGATCCCTGAGAAAGAAAATGCAGGGGGATCGTGCTGCAACAAGGGATGGAGGTGAGGGGGGTTGAAAATGTTTCGTTCTAGTGTACTAGTTTTTTTTTTATATTTTGTGTATTTGTGTAGAGGATATAATTTTTCCAACACCTCGGAAGGGCATCCCATTTCCTTTAAAAATAAAAAAAATACGTTTGTGAGTGAACATTCGGCTACCTAAAAAAGCACCCTCCTGCCGAAATCTCTTAAGGCACTTTATTCCTGTAATTTTTCACAAAGAAGATGCCACAAGAAAAGAATTAAACTAAACAAATAACTGCCTTATTAAAATAAAAAAATGAGTGATAGAAGATAGTAGATAGAACTGCATTAACGTTTAACGTGTGTATGTAGGTTAAAAAACAAAAAAAAAGTTGGAATGCCATTTACATTATTGTACCTGAGGGGATGGTATGAGGTGGATTATTTTTATGGAATACAACCCATACATTTTCGTCACTGCTATTTAACCTCCCTACAATGTTTATAAACATCAAAAACAAAACACCGCCTGTTTAGCTTCGCCTTTTTCTATATAATTTGTTTTCAATATATTTTGTAGTGTCCTAGAAGTGTTTTGTTGTTATCAAAATAGGTTAGTAAATATTATAACAACTCAAAAACTCCCCACGGCGATTTAATTTTATTTGGAACAAAAAATTTATGGAACAATTTTATGTTTTACCCTTTCTAAATTGAACCGCCCTGATTTTGAGCACACAAAGTTTAATAGAACATTTTTTCAAATTATACATGTTATGATAATATTTGTGTCAATTCGAAAAAAAAATAACAATAAATAATAACCACTAATTTAAACAAGTAATATTAAAAGCTACAGCAACTTGTATTAAACTTACCTAGGTGTGTTATAGCAATATTGCTCTCGCAATAAAAGCTAAGGTTATTTTGGATTAATTATAGTTTTGTATGTTACCAAAAGGTAATTTATTAAAAACTTGATAGTCGGTATAAAACTAAAATATTTCTCAAATGTCAAATATCGAGTGTCCGATCGAAACCTCACAGTTGTTTATTTATTTGTTCTTGAAAGAATTGTGTTTAGTATTTAATAAATATCCGGATACAGTTTAGAATTAAATTAAACAAATTGGGGATACAGCTTTGTGCATAATAGTCGCTGTACAATATTTAATACATGCTTTAAGATTTATATAGATTCTACGGAGTAAAGATATAAGATAAAGATAAGAATAAAACTGATATAATAAGAGTTTCAAGAAAGCTATAAAACCTTTCTAAAAAACCTGAAGTTACCAACACCAAACGTTTTACAGATAAATTCCCGGAAACATTTTGGATGCAATATTATGAAGTTTCAAGTGTTTTGCTATTTATTTGATTTCTTACAAAAATTGTATCACCAATGGTTTTCTTATAAAACTATAAAATATATAAATGGAAGGCGTAAAATATTAACAAGTTTTAAACAGCAGTTCTATAAATTTTGGAACATTTATTTCGAGAGAGGTACTGAATCCTTTGGTAAAATTTACGTCAGGACTAACATAAACAACAAACACACCAAAAACGACAACTAATTTTTAATAGAGTTTTTTCGCTTTGTGTTGCTGTGGCTAGGGAAGAAGGAAACCCTTATATTTATATCAAACATATACCCTTAAAATCCTTTACAACAATATCAAAAGATTTTTTAACACAAGAATGCCATTCAAATTAGGCCCCTCGATCTTGCTAAGTAAAAAGCGTGTGGGCTGATTCAATCCACTTTACCAAGAAAGTTTTGAACTAATTTGAATAGAAACATATTATATAATGCACTCCCACGCGGGCATGCAGTTGGACAGCGATATATTTCGTGTTGCAGAGCAATAGTTTAACCACAACGATAGCATTTAAATTAATAGAAGTTGCTGGTTTCCGATTAGGGAAACATTTTATGTGAACAAGTTGCGAAACGCGAAAGTAGGCTAGTTCCTAAAACGTGTCCGCGGTGGTGTAAAAATAACAAAAAAAATCATCCAGTCCCGCGAGGTCTCGTCAAGGAATTCACCGATAGCGAAATTATTTTGCTAGTTATCGTCAAGGTTCGACAGAATTGTCGCGGTTATTGCTAACATTCATCACCAAGTTAACGATAAGCGGTAAAATGAAACACCGTTACAGGAACATTAAATACAGTAAGCAATTTAATCAAAGATTTGTTATTGGCTTTTCAACGCAAGATGTTTTTTACATGCACAATTCTATTAGGTACTTCTGGACGCAACTACACAAGCTTTCACTAAGTCTTTTTAATTATTATTTTTTGCCAAGTTTTTTTTAAATAAGGGAAAATCATAAGATTTTTCCAAACCTCTAACACTTATACCAGGTGACACAAGAAAGTAGGAACACTCTATAACTTATAAACGGCTTGGGATAGCGATGTGAAATTTGGAAGGGTTAATATTGGACGGATGTCCATTTTTTTCGCAATGTGTAGTCAACGGTTGCATTTCCGGTTTGAGCGGAAACGACAGCAACTTTCGAATTTTAAATGGCACAACCTTCTTTTTTCATTTTTGGATCATTCTACGTTGGATAGGGCTGGTTTTCTTTGTTTTTTTTTTTTAATTTTTGAAAATTGTGTAGGAGGGTATTTACCGGGTCACCTGATCATGTGAAAAATTGTAAACGAAACTTTTCTTTACTTGTCTACTGGCAAATAGCATTTAATGTAATGCACTATTAATTTTTTAGTATAACCTAGCTTTTTCAAATAGCACCCTAGTGGGAACAAAAACATTTTAAAACGGGTACCTTTTTTGCAACACTTTAACACAAAAATTTTCAAAATCAGTTAAAAAATAAGCTCACAGGAAGAAAAAAACCAGATAAGTAAATACATTTGTATAAAAACCAAGTTGGCATGATTGAAAATTCTGGCAGTTTGTACATTTTTAGCTGATTATCTATTTCTAATATACGGGGTATGCAGAAAAAACTCTCGATAGGCCCGTGCATTGTATGCAGCCCGCTATCCGCGACGTCGCCTTCCTGCACATTCTTTCTTTAGAAAGCTGGAATAGAAAATGAGAAACCCACAAAATAATCGACATGATATAAGTGAAGAAATGGAAATCCATGGTGTGGGATTAGACATATCAAGAGAATCTGTAAAGAGACTTTTTAAAAAACACGGCTATCATTCTTTTAGGTATAACCTTCAGCAACATATTTATTAAGCTGACTTTGTAAGACTTCCATATTGTAATTGTCTGTTAAATATATATTTTCCGCAGGATGGCGAGACTCCCCATAATTTTAGAGATGTCACTGAACACCTACGTGATGTTTATGGGGATAGACTAATCTTAACACACATTACATGCAAGTTTCATCTTTAAATAAATTTTGCACTTATTTAATTCAAATAAATCCAAAACTCCAGTTCCAAAATAAATGAATGTGATGTTTTGTCTTGTATGACAGTAGCATATGTTGATGTACCATTTTCAAATCGATTCTACCGCGATTGCTGAGATTTTATTTTCTACCGTACGTTAAGTTTTGACTGTATCCCCATATTCCAAAAGCATATCAACTTTTTCCCATATTAAAACACTTTTAACAAAAAATTATAATCGTTAAAGCTCAGAAGAAGCTCTCCTTTCAATTTAGAGTTTCTTCTGCATTTTTAATCATACGGACTCGACAATTAATGAATAGAAGCAAAGCCACCTAAGTAATATTTTGTAGTTACTTTTCTTGTTTTTTACCTTCCTGCGAGCCTATTTTTTAACAGACTTTGAAAATTTTGGTGTCAAAATGTTGTAAAAAAAGTACCGGTTTTAAAAAGTTTTTGCTCCCTCTAGGGTGCTATTTGAAAAAACTAGGTTATCCTAAAAAAATAATAGCTCATTGCATTAAATGCTATTTGCCATCAGAAAAGCTAAGAAAAAATGCATTTACAATTTTTTCCGTAATCAGGACCGTTAGTTTTTGGATACCTTTTTGCAAAACAACAGGAATACGTTCACTGTTATGACCGTCGGGATTGCCAAACGTCAGGATTTAAGCCGTTCGGTAATATCCCGGAAATGTCCGAAGTGGCTCTGATCTGTGGGAAACGAAACTGATGTGGTAAAATGACACTTTCTGCGCTACAGATCAGTGAATAATTGGTAGGATTGTGGATTTGACCAGTCTTGACCGGTCAATTGATCGAAATAATTATAAACATATCATGAAACCAACCAAATGGAGTCGATATTATTATTGGGATTCCCCGTATCGCTAAGTATCGCATTCGGATATTCCTTGAGGAGGGTTATAGGCAAATTAGACATCACAAACGCATAATAATTCAATATATAATAGATATTATTATTAAATAATGATAGATAACACTCTACAATTGCAAGATGTCATTTAAAACATTTTTCTACTAGTCAATTAAGAAGTGGTCAAATAGGTATTTTACGGGAGGCAGAGAAAAAATATTATCTTGATAATAGACATAGGTGGAAGTGGAAGTCAAGTTATATTCAAAGAACCGAAAGAATGAAGCGATTGGGTTTCCGTCAAATTTTGATTATGATTATTTCTGATCATTTGCACAGAAGGGAAAAGAAAATCTCAAGTATTCGCTTGTGGGGTCGCTGGGGATTAATCATAAATTTCGAATAATAAAAAAAACGAAGAGAAATATGCACATCGGTTCAGTGCTCTCAGATGTTAATATTGTTTACATTTACTGGCCATATTTTTTTTCTATAGAATTTAATAATCGGATACCAAAATATTTCATATTTATAATGGTATTTATTGCTAATAAATTTTGAAATATCAGGTTTCGTCCAGAGCTTTATTGTTTATGTTATGTTCAGATTGTAAACTAGCAATAAATCAGTAACCGAATTTTCCAAAGGACTAGTTTTCATTTTAATTTAATTAAAAGTTAAGTCAATAAAATAATTATTACGCTACATTATTTCATTAGAAAAGCCACAAAACCATGATTTTTTCCATTAATACCTGCTTCAATATTTGAAGTGGACTTTACTAGTGTCCAACTCCATGATTGTCCTATTTATATATATCTATCGGTTTTTAAAACGTCCTCCGACGTCGTCCGATTCCCAATCTCCATCGACTTCTGTCCTTCCATAGGTCCTCGTCCAGTCGTCTCCATGGTATTCCGCTATCGATGCCCTGTCTCCAGCTCTTTATCGGTCTTCCCCGCTTCCTTCTTCCTATAGGTGTCCAGGTGAGTATTTGTTTAGGCAGTCGCTGTTCTTCCATTCTTTGGACGTGACCGTACCACTTTAACTGTTTTGTTCTTATTTCGTCTGAAATCGTGTGGCCCACCTTCATGGTTATGCGAATTGCTTCGTTTGGGACTCTTTCGGTTCTTGACCTTCCTGCCGCTCTTCTCAAGTCCATCTCTGTTGCCTCCAGCGTTCTCATGGTTCTTTCTTTTAGTGACCAGACTTCACTGCTGTATGTGACTATGCTTTTAATGATCGTATTGTATATTAGGTGTTTGTTTGGTCTCGTGATTTTTTGGTACCACAAGAAGGTGTTCAGCATAGTAATGGCCTTTCTTCCTTGATTATTTCGTTCTTTGATGGCGTAGTCTAACGTCCCACTGCTGGATATTTCGCAGCTTTTGATAGCCTGACCATCCTCTAAGAGGAGGTCGCGTTGTGCTCCACTGATACACATATACTTTGCCTTTGGTAAGTTAACTTCCAACCCCCATTTCTTGTATTCTTCTATCAGTTTTCGCATTATGTATTCTACATCATCGTAGTCTGCGCCATTATGACTTGGTCATCTGCGAAGCTTAGGGCGTATATGTTTCCATTGTTAAGGGGAATGCCCATATTTGTTTTCCATATCCTTAACGCTTGTTCAAGATGTATCTTGAACACGGTGCGGGATACAGAACACCCTTGTTTGAGTCCCTTGTTGGGTGTAAATCCATTGGACATTTTTTGGCCGACCTTGACTTTAATGTGGCAGTTTCTATATAGTTCTTTCACTGATCTTATTATGTTGACGCTTAGGTTTGTTTTGTTTAATGCCTCCCAAAGTTTTGTTAGCGGTATGCTATCGTATGCCTTCTTCAGATCAACGAACAGGAGATGTATCTGCTTATTGAAGGCTGACATTTTCTCGATAAGCTGGGTGACGCGAAACAGATGGTCAACGACGGATCTTCCCGCGCGAAAGCCCGCTTGTTCTTCTGCCTCACTGTTTGTGTAATCGCATTCTATTTTGGCCATTAATATTTTACCGCAAATCCGACCGATTGAGCTCGTCACTGCGATACCTCGATAGTTGTCGCAGTTTTCCTTGTTGTCCTTTTTGTGGATAGAGGTAAGGAAGGATAATTTCCATTCTTCTGGGATATCTCCGCCGTTAATACAGTTTTGAAAGAGCTTTGCTAGATGTTCATACAGCTTGTGTGTTCCATGTTTGATTAATTCTGCGGGAATATTACCTGGCCCTGGTGATTTTTTAAGTTTGTGCAAACATCTTCTACCTCATTAATGCTGATTCTGGTTGGTAAAGCCGAAACCTGTATTATGCTAGGTTTGTCCTATTTCCATATATCAATCCTAATTATTATTAATTATTGAGGATAATTCCATGTTTGGTAGGTTGAGAATTCATAATTTCACTTTCATTGATTATCTCTGATTTTCTTCTCTTTCTTACTTATATATGACTATTTAAGGCATGCCTTCCCTTGAGTGGTTTTTTTAGAAATTGAGAAAACACCATGAGCAGAAACTTGAACCAAATTCAGTGATGTTAATATCTTTTCTGGTTTTCGTGTTCTGTTAAAATGTGATACTTAGATTACATTTATTTAAACTGTTTGAACATTTTTTGATTTTCTGTTTAGGTCCGCTGTTTAAGGTCAGATACGTGCAAGTTGTGCTCCTGTTCTTTCTGATGACAATAGCGTTTTCAATTAGGATGACCTTGTCCGTAGCTATCGTGGCAATGACGCATAATGGCACCTCTAGCAATCCAGATGTACCGGTAAGTACTCTTTAGTGGCCGTGTTTCGTTTGTTTCCCATAATCTTAATATCGCTTAAGGTTCTATAATTTGCGATCATATTAGATTATCAACTATAAACTATCATAGGTAAGTGTGAGACATGTGCTCCCATTACAAAATGGATCACAATTGCAGCAACAAACAAGCGACTGCATCGATGTTAGGAGTAATCAATTAGCCCGACAGAACGCAGATTAGATCAGTGCTTCTGGAGTGGCATATCTTGTATTAATTGAAGTGAGAAATTATATTTGTGCAAATTGATTGAGTTTCAAACAATACAATGCGATTTATATTGTTATACAAGTGAATTTCCGACTAAAAAACATATCAATTAGGCCAATTACCCTAAGAAAATTCTTTAGACTTTATTACGTACTGTTTTCAATCAAACATATCTTAAAAACTAACTAGCTGTATTCTGGATGTATTTTAAAAAATTAGGATTTAATATTTGAAAACTTTAAGATATTAAAGTATTTTTTTTTTATCAAAGAAACTTCCACAGGCTACTGCAATACTTTTTACTTAACTTCTGGATTCCTCCTGCGCCGGTTTTTGCTGACGTGTTGCCAATCATCCAATCATTTTACTCTGTATCTGCATATATATTGTTTGAGGGGGGCGGAGCTAAATGACGGGCATAAACACTGTCTTGGACGACTGATTTCCATATTGGTGACAGGTAGAGACCCGAGTCGCCGTTAAGATTGTTAGGTTGTTTATGGATTTCCATAGACTCTCGGATTTTTCGTTGGTATAAGAATTGATTACGAGCAAGAATTATAGTTTTATCGAGTAAAATTTTATGTCCGGTTTCGTAATTGTGTTCGGCAACAGCTGATGAATTTATTTGTCTTAGTCGAAAGGCTCTTTCATGTTCTTTGAGCCTAGCTATAATGTACTCCTGGCATCTCAAATGTAGTTTTATCTTTGATGATGAAGATGTTGAGAAATTTTTGGACAAGTGGTAAATCTGGTTTTGACGTTATACTTCTTTAGAACTTTTGATATGTGGTCAGTGATATTTTGAATGTAAGAAAGGACTACAGTGGCAAGTGTAGGATTGCTTTCGGCCTCATTATTATTGGAAGGTTGTGGTGAAAAGTGAGAAGTTCTAAAGAAGTATAAAGTCGAAACCAGATTTACCACTTGTCCAAAAACCTCTCAACTTATTCGGTCCGTCAAAGATGAAATTACATTTGAGATGCCAGGAGTTTGCAGCATTTCTAGAACGCAAAAGAGCCTCACGACTAAGACAAATAAATTCATCAGCTGTTGACGAAAATTGTTGCATGTAATCAATTCTTCTACCAACGAAAAATCCGAGAGTCTATATATAGAAATCTATAAACAACCTAACAATCTTAACTGCGACTCAGATCTACTTGTCACCAATTTGGGAATCAGTCATCCGATACGATATTTATGCCCCTCATTTAGCTCCGCCCCCCTCAAACAATATATAAGCAGGTACAGATTATAATGCGAGCCCGTTTCAGCTCTGAAGAAGCCAACAGGATGATTTTCCAAACGTCAGCAAGTTCGACCCAGCAAAAACCGACGCAGGATGAATCCAGAAGTTTTGTAAAAAGTAATGACATTATGCTTTTTTCCCTGCCTCTTTCTGATGTAGGTACCATCTGATACCTGCAAATTTAATTTAGATTATTTAAAAGTTTACACAAAGTTTGATCAAATATGGGTAGACATCTTGGAGTTCTATTATTATTTTTTTAATTTTCTTCTTATAAATTGCCCCAGCACTTTAAAACACATTTCAATAAATACATACATCTTTCATAATTAAATTATTTTTAATGGGAAGGATGGCACCAAACTGCATTCCTTGACGAGAAAGACGATTAATCGCTTAAGCACCCGATAGACTAGGTAGAATAATGTTTCAATTATATTGTTTAATAAATACAAAAACTGTTGGGAACTGCCAAATTTCGAAAGGTTTTCGTTGGTACCGACGATCTTATCCCTCATCAATTAAGAAATACACAACATTCGTATGCCCATTAATATAATATCTGCACCAAAATTTCCTTGCCGACCGCAGACACAGCCTTGAATGAAAAGATTGATTTTGTGCAGTACATATAACTTGACCTTAAATATTTATGAAAACGCCAGCGGAGCGTCTAAAGCTTTATATCTGAAGGCGCATAAAATTCTTCAGCTTTGTGTTCCAGATTCCGATAGAAAATAAAGCCAGCGGGCGAAGATTTCAACCACGATATATAGTTGGAACTTGTTGACATTATAATATAATGGAGACTGTATTCTCAATCAAATTAGTTTGTCGTTTCCTAATAGTTGCATTTAAATATGCATGAAATATAACGTTAATCCTAGTAAACATTGTTTCCTTAGTTTTGTACAATTGTACGTTGCTCACGTCCCACATTACGACACCGTGACTGGCATTCATAATATAGGTTAAAGTGGAGAAAAAAGTTTTAATTGGTTTATATTATTTAAATATATAGTACAAATAATTTGGAAGGTAAAAAGTGTCTAGATATTCATACAATCGTGGTGCATGTGAATTTAGAATGTTAAATGTATCATAAGAAGAAAGTGTTTTTGTACCTATTTTTCATATCAAAATTATTTTGATAGCACTTGAAGACGTATTACTAGATCTTTTTAAATGTGGCATTGTTTTCATAGAGACTTTTATTATAACAGATTTTATTATTATATTTTATTTATTTTCTTTAGCAGAATATTACAAATCGGCTTTAATGAAAACTTAAATAGTTAAATAATTCTCTTCACGCGAAGGACAGTAAAAAAACTACTGTTCCTGCAGTAGGTATTATTAGCACCGAATAAAAAATAAAAATAATAAGGAAATACAAAATAAATAAAAACTACTTTTGATTTTGACTGTGTCTGTTAGTGCTTCTCCTGTTGATTTGATCATTTCTAACTTGTTAGCCCATATTGGAGTACTTAGATTTTGTTAGAACAACCGAATCTTCTCTTTTTATTGCTTGAATGCATGTTTTTCCGAAAATTGCCACTTTTTCTCCAGTTTTACAATTCCTTTTTCGATTGGAAGCAGCAAGTGTTTACCACAACTATATCAAAAAGGCTTTGTAATTATTAAATACACAGTACGTAGTTTAAATATTTACGAATTATATATATATATATATATATATATATATATATATATATATATATATATATATATATATATATATATATATATATATATATATATATATATATATATATATATATATATATATATATATATATATATATATATATATATATATATATATATATATATATATATATATATATATATATATATATATATATATGCGTAAATGCGCTCCTTAGCTCAGGTTTAGTGTATATATATATATATATATATATATATATATATATATATATATATATATATATATATATATATATATATGATGACACTATATTCCGGGATATCATCCGTTCGCTCGTTGAACTCCGACTGGAATCCTGCATCCGACTGGAATCCTGCAAATCCTGCATCCGACTGGAATCCTGCAGACGTTTCGCCAAAATCTCACTTGGCATCTTCAATGCTCGCGCTCCGAAAACACTTCGAACAGTGTTCGAAGTGTTTTCGGAGCGCGAGCATTGAAGATGCCAAGTGAGATTTTGGCGAAACGTCTGCAGGATTCCAGTCGGATGCAGGATTTGCAGGATTCCAGTCGGATGCAGGATTCCAGTCGGAGTTCAACGAGCGAACGGATGATATCCCGGAATATAGTGTCATCATATTTTTCCATCCGTGAATCAATACGTGAGAATATATATATATATATATATATATATATATATATATATATATATATATATACAAAATATACAAATATTATATCATACACTAATTCTGAGACTGATAAACGAGGGCAAAACTATTCAAATGTTTCATACAACAATATCAAGTACTCGCCATATTCGTTTCTGCGCAGTTACTTTACTATGACGCGAAGCGGGTACTGCAAAGCGACGGTGTAAATAATAAACAAACCAGGTGGTTGGTTTACATTGGTTATGTTATTTACGTTGTTCCAAGGAAAAGGTTCAAACTCTATATTCTGAGAGGTACCAATTATACGCTTGCGCATTTTTGCTCACTTGCGAGCAAATCAAGTTCTTATCTTTGTTTTGCACATATATGTGAATAATGTGATAATCTTTCTTATTGTAATAATTTACATTTAATTACATTAATAATCAAATAACTTTAAATCTTTGTAAAAAATAAAATGCATAATGATCTAAACATTTTTTCTGGAGTATTATTGTAGATTTTATTCTTGGAAAAAGGGAAAATCTTTAATTTTTCATTTTTAATTTCGTCATGTAATATACATGATAAAATCAAATTAACAACTTGCGTTGTTACGCGGTAACACTTTATTTGTAATTATTATTTATTTATTATTTTATTTGAATTTTTATTATTTACTTATTTATTATTTACTTAATAAACAAAATCAAATTGTATAATATACAATAGGTGTAAATACTTAACTTACCCATAAGAAATACATTCAACCTAAATATTGCAGAAATGAAAAAAGGAGAAAATTCTATTTATGGAAACTTTCAAAACATTTGGCATGCAAACTAACGCAAGATTACTAGCAAATAAATCCTGTGTGATGCGCAAACCTACTTCCCTAATTTTGCATTGCCTTGCGGATGTACCTTCCTTATCCTGCTTCTTACTGCAAATCATATCTACCTGAGACAATGTATCATATATTCGTATATACATCGGCCAGAGCACATGTACCTATAAATCATTTCAGAGCGGCCTTAGTCACAACGAAATCGTAGCAATTTTGATCACTGATGAATTTGAAGTTAGTAATAAGATCATAAACTTTATCGTTAAATAAGAGCTGGAAGCTATCGTGATGAATTTTATCGGTTACAGTGTGTCCAAGTTCTAGATTCATTTCAATTTCATAGAATTTTCATATTGGTTCATAACACTATTTCTTAAATACTGACAATAATAATAAACAAAAACGAAACAAAATAAGAAAATCCTATATGTTGTTATGCTGTCATCCATAAATTCCGTGAACTAGTCAAAGTCTGGTGATGTTACTATCTCTGGGACATCCTCTTCACTAATATTTTCAAGTTCGCCTTTTCACCTCAACTATGTTAGAGATTTCTTTTGATTAATTACCGGCTTATTGGTCTGGCTAGATATTGTAAGTAATGTTTGTGATTATCACCGGCACTGACAACATAAGAACAGTATTACTGTCAAAGGTTTGTACCAAGATAAAAAAAAGTGTAATTATTTACTAATAATTTATCAACAAGCAGTAGGTGTTCGATAAGTTAGTTTAGCAGTGTTTTATCAATAAAAATAACACAATAAAACTAGAGCTGTGTCGAATAAACAGAAAAATTAGAAAATTTAAATATAATCAGATTTTATCACAATAACTGCATGGTAATTATATAAAACAACCGAACACTTTTTTTAATGGAGTGTTAACACAAAAAGTTCTTTATTCTACACCCGTCTGTAAAATACGTAATTACCCACAGACCTAGCGTGCGAGAAGCGTCACTTTACCACGTCAGTTTCGTTTCCCATGAATCCGAGCCATTTCGGACATTTCCGGGATTTTACCACACGGATTTGGAAGTAATCGTATGTTTTCGGAGATATTTCCTACGCTTTGAATTTTGACGTTTGTCAATTCTGACAGTCACGTCAGTAAATGTATTCGTGTTGTTTTGCGAAAATGTACCCAAAAATTAACGGTCGTGTCAAATAAACTCGTGAGTCAAATGCCGTTTACCGCACTTGATGCATAATATGCTATTATATTACTAATGATTTTTAGCTCTGGGGAAGTTTAGTGTAGACTCAAACACCAGAAATATATTCTCCGCTCCGCTGCGCTACGCTCGTGTCAAATAAACTCGTGAGTCAAATGCCGTTTACCGCACTTGTTGCATAATATACTATTACGAAACGTGTTGCATACTATACTTTTTCTACGACCTTCAAGAAAAAATCACAATTTAAAAAATTAAAAATAATAACAGATTATCGAATTAGTAAATTTCGTACCATTCAAACAACATATTTACCAGTTGCCATTAAACCCACTAGTTTATCGTTCCGATCGGTTCTGCTATTATTGTCTCTTTTTAACTGTGTACGTTAGACAAAGAGAGATGTATTACTAGATATGTCAAACAACGAAATAAACACAATTTTAAAACGTTATATTGTTTATTTAACTTTTACAATTGATAATTAAATAGTTTATTTAAAGAAAAAGACTGTAATTGGAAGAAAAATCACCCAAGGATAGGGCGTTTAAGAGCATTAATTTTTTAAGACCGTATAAGCAAGAAAAAGCAAGTCCTAACCTTCAATTTTGTTTTGTTTATGCTGATGAGGCATGGATATTTGAAAATGATACAATTGGTCTTGGCAATATATTAATATAAAAACTGTAAAAATCACTAAACCTAAATTAATAAATTAAGTTGTGAGTCAAATGCCGTTTACCGCACTTATTGCATAATATACTATTTCTACCACATCAGTTTCATTTCCCACGGATGTTTTCGGAGATATTTCCCACGCCTTGAATTTTGACATTTGTCAATTATGATGGTAATGTCAGTGAACGTATTCTTGTTGTTTTGCGAAAAGCTACCCAAAAACTAACGGTCGTAGAAAAACTTTTTAAGTCACTCGTTTATTAAACACTAGCTCCGCTGCGCTCTGCTCGTGTCAAATAAACTCATGAGTAATATGCCATTTACCGCACTTATTGCATAATATACTTTTAACAAAATGTTGTTATCGCGCATTTGGTGCTAATCCAGAGCGGTAATTTTCTATACGATTGACAGCTCGATGTGAGTTATAGGTTGGCACTAGCGTTTACACAAATATACTCAATTAAATATTTTCCCGGAAACTTTTTTTGTCAGTTAACATTAAACAGTCGTGTCTCCATTGTTCTTGATGCAAAATTAAAGTTTCGGTTCGCTACGCTTCGTAAACCGTTACTCGTTGCAGACGTACGAATGGAAAAACACCAACATAATACTATCGTCGTTTTTCTGGAGCTACGCCATCACTCAATTCTTCGCCGGGCACATGGCTCAAGTGTACGGCCCCAAATGGCTTTTGGCTACTGCGATGCTGGCAAATGCGTTAGCGAGTATCGCTATACCGAGTTTCGTCAACTATTTCGGCGCGAACGGCGTTATCACGTGCAGGATATTCCAGGGTCTGTTCCAGGGCTTTATGCTGCCGCTGACGCACAACATGTTGGGAAGATGGGCGCCGTCACACGAGAACTCTTGGATTAACGCCACCGTATACACAGGTAACCAAACAAAAACAAAACAGGAATTAGAGTTCATCCAGAGTTGGATTTTGGCGCAGTTTTCGGATATAACATTAGAAAAAAAGTGTCAGAAGTCCTCATCGACGCCATTTATGCCAAAAAAATTGTGGGTTATAATAATTGTCTTCACCTGAAACTGTTTTTTCCTAGAAATCATCATTCCTAAAATATTGCTGTTCTAAAAGTTGAAGGAGTTACATTCTCTATTAGTATATTTTCACACCATCTATAAGGTGCGTTTTTTTTTTTTAACACGATTTTCCCGATAGGAATACTCTACGATCTGGCGGATAATTACAGAATTTTTAATGTATTTATGCCACTTTGTATCAGGTTCAATTGCACTAGAAATACAGTGCTTTTACAACCGATCCCGTGATTAACTTTGGCTACTGTTTACTACTCCAAAACCCCAGTCCCTTATAGAACATCCTGCCGAGCAACCCTTACACGTAACCATTCCAAGACCGTACTGGGAATTTATCTACCTACACTAACAACAGGGATATAAGTATGTTTTCAATCTTTTTCGCCAAGCGATTCTTGAAACATGTACATAAAACAATTAGTACAAAGTAACAATTTATTACGTTCTATTTCATTACATTTCTACATAGTATCATTATTAATATTGAATATAATAATAATAACTCCGCCACTAATCGTTCTCGATAAATATTTTCTTATTTTATTACTCGTTTTTCACGGTTAGACCAGCTTTGTACTGATATTTTAGCTACCTCTTGCCTAATTACGTTTATGGACTAGCACTAAAATTTGGTGCAGTGTTATATCTTCTTATATGCTCACTTAACTCAGACCAAATCATCTCAATCGGGTTAAATTTACAATGATATGGGGGTAATCTCAATATTTCATGGCCGTTTTGTTGTGCTATCGAACTGATTCTGTCTTATTAAAATGTTTTATTTTTAATAATTCCAGAAATTATTTTTTCGTGTAACTCTTTTCAAAATATAAATCAATTTTTTACAGATTTTTTTAAATTTATTCTTTATTTGGAGAAGTATTTGGAATTTTTGTAATTTATCCAACAAAATAACAGTATTTGGCGATAGTTTGAGCAACCATTTAGTTTCAAACCAGTCTTCTAATATTTCCGCAGTCATGTTTTCATGGTAATCCATACTTCAATCTTTGACCTTTTTGGCAAACAAAAATGAGGCATCTTCCACCTAACCTTTTTGGACCCAGCATTATTATGCGTCTCCCATGTGACTTGTTACTGTTATCACACCATCCTTTTTTACTGTGTCGTGAGTGTCGTTTCGTCTATTGGCCAATATTGCTCTTGAAATTTTTCAATTACATTTAAATAATCCACTCTCCATTGCGAAATTATTTGGGATTCCATTAGCACTTGAGGTTGAATAATTGTTTGGAAACGAAAATCTATTTTCTTCAAAAAAGTACTCAATGACTCCTAAGCACAACTAATGTTTAGGTTTGTAAGTGCTTTTTTATGCAGTTCTTCTAGGGTTAAAACACTTATAAGCATCGCAGATTATACGTCTAATTAGATCTGCGTGTTGCTCTTTAAAAACTCGAGAAGTAGTCACTTTCCTCTTGATTATCCCATTTCTTATAAAATTGTAAACATTCAAAACAATTTATTTAGTATCCGAAGACAAATGGATCAATTTTTTTATTTTGTGTTGTTTTAAATGTCTTCTTCTAACAGGGGAACATGTGCTTCATTCCACTGTCTCCACATTTTCAAGGGTTAAAAAACAGGAACCTTCAAAAAATTGTGTTGTTTAATAATTGTAAAATTTTAATAAATATTTATCTGTTATCTTCTGACGTACCTTTATCTGTGAATATAATATCGCGAATATAATCTCTAGTCTTAAAAAATACTGTTGTTGTTTACAAATCGAAGAACTATGCAGAAAACACAAAAATACAAGAAGAAGAATGTTGTTAATCGACAGGCACACAAGATAAAAATTATTATTTTCAAAACTTACCTGTAAGATAAATAGAGTACAATTACTTACCCTTACCCTTTGAACTATCCAGTGTAAACAGCCTCCCAAGGTAAAAACTGAAGAATCAGGTACATAAATATGTACTTACTGGAAGGATCACAGACAAATACCTCCGTAGTATATACGAATATAATGTAATCTAGATTAAACTCTTACGAACCATACATATCACCTGATGTTAAAAAAATGCTTCTACCTATTCGAAAATACCCCGCAGCATCAATGCTTAATCAAATTTAAAACGGTCCATTTACGTTTCAAATAAAAATTTCAAATTTGTACCAATATTCGTTACAAATCATCTCATGCAAGATCTACTTAATGCATAATAAACGTCTGCTGGGATGGGTTTTACTAGGGTCCTGCGAAGGTCTGCGGTTAAGGTACTGTAAACTACCGAAAATGTCAATGTTGCTGCAACTAGAGGGCAATTGTAACATTTTTAGTAAATATTAATGGGTACAAATCGTAATAATGGACGATAGTAACAAATAGGTGAAATCACTCGAAAGAAAGGTACTCGAGAGAAATTTAAAAAAATATTCGAGTTCGTTCCATATTAGTTGCCAAAACGTATGACGTCGCAAGACATTAGTGGCTACAAGGATTACCGAGAAAACTAAATAAAATCGGGATGCCTTGCTTCATTCCAGTGTCCATAATTCAAATTTTTGAGTTCCGTAGAAAGGAAATTGGGAAATAAAATAGTTTTATTTATTGATACATATGATATCAAAACATATAGACAAATAGTAAGAAACAAGGAAGAAAATTTTTGGGTTTGGGTTTATTGTATGCTGCTATTTTTCCTTTGCAGTTTCACTAAGGTGTAATTTTCAAAGCGATTTTCATTCTCCTTGTATGTTTATGCATTTTTTAAAATTGAATTCACCTTCGACAGGCTAATTCCGTTGAGCCCAAGATTACATGAAAGTAATCAGACTAAATTTTCCACAAAGGACGTTAATCAGAACAGGGTACAAATACCATTGGGAGCCTCTACGTCTTAATTTGTAGGAGTTTGATTTGTTTATACCACTCTGCAATAAGAAATATTTATTTAGAAATCTTTTGGATTCCTCCCATGTTAGTTGTTGATAAATCAAAGTTAATGATGCTTCATCCGGTTGTCTTCTTCCGAGCTCAGCTGAAACTGCAACCGAAGTAGGAGGAAACCAGAAAATGTGTAATTAGTATTTCAGCAGCATTATATCTTAGAAAACATTTTCAAATTATAACCAAAAACGTATACTACATGATCTTTATTATTTCCATGTTTAATTTACAACCTGTAAGGATGTGACTATTTGTATATTTTTGGGTGAAATGATTTTATATGGAAAAAGAAATTTCAGTCACGGACTTGTGATTTCTGCAGGTTTTTCTGTTGGAACTTTTAATCAAATTCAATCAAAATGGAATGGGTGCATTTCAATTTCGCTGATGAATTGAAAAAGAAGTCGCGGGAATAATAACCTTAAACAATCCGAGTGTCAAAAACAATGACGGCGTTTGACATTTCAAATTTTTAGTTCTCTTGAAACTGGCAACTCCGTGGACTACAGGGTTTCTCATTGTGTGCTATGGTTGAATTCTTCTCTTTGTTCTAATTTTCAGTATTTCAGTTAAGTCACACTCGAAAAAAATGATCGTTACCACGTGGACAATAAAGTGGACAGATGCTTCTGTACAAGGGATTAACTTAGGAACTCTATTCTCAGAATAGTTCATCCTATAGGAATTTTTTAGTTATATCAAGTGCCTGGTATACTTATGTATATAAATCGAGTGCAACTCATTCGAATTCTGGAATCGCGATGTTTTGGAATGGTGAAAGGAAGAAAGTATACGGATCATTTTTCTTTAATTGTTTCAATTTTATAAATATTTTTTTAATAAAACCTACTTTTCCGAGAAAAATCCAAAAAACGAACATTTTGATTTTTGAATTAGAATAACTTTTTTAGCTTACATTGTACCGATGTGAACTTTTAGCTTTGTCGGCATTTTTGTTATTTGAAATGTCTATTTTGACGGGACTGCAAGTTTGATTATGCATAACAAGTTTAGGGAGACATCATTCTTCTAGCTACTGATGTTGCAGGTTGTTCAGTCGGTGGGATAATAGCCATGTTATTTACTGGCTACCTTTCAGCTTCTCCTTTGGGTTGGCCGTCTGCGTTCTATTTTTTCGGAACGCTGGGGCTAATTTGGTGCCTGTTTTGGACCTGCCTAAGTGCCGATAGTCCTGCCACACATAAAACGATTACGACGGAGGAAAGGAAATACATCGAAATTTCACTGGGACAAGAGAACGACCACATGGTTCGTTGGATATTAAAATTTTTTCGCAATTCTGTTAGCAGAAGACACGCTTTTTAACCGATTTTCTCTTCGATTCAATACCTAGTTATTTTTATTGTTTGATATTTAGTGAAGAGCATGACGCATCTAGCAGGATATGAAATACATATAAATAGAGAAAATAATGCATATAACGATTGATTGACCTAACCTAATCAATTATTTATTTTTCTCGTTTTGGTTGGTCGATGGTATTCCTTTCATTTGCTTTGCGAACGATCATTAGCAATCGCTTCACTGACACGACCTGAAGATTAGACAGAAAATTAAGCTTAGCGCATATTAAATGTTTATTGTTGCAGATGGAGGAAAAGTCAATTCCGTGGAAAGCTATCTTCACGTCAGTTCCGTATTGGGCCATCATCATAGCAGCCGTAGGCGAATCATGGGGTAGCACCTTACTAGGTACGGAACTACCTACTTATCTGAGTAGCGTAGTCGGATTGGACATAGAAGAGGTAAACAGCGTATATACTTAATTAGAATGTCATCCTTTCACAACATAATAACAAACTTTATTGAGGGCCTTTGTGGAAAGCAATTGTAGTTTTTAAATGTAGCATATATTTCTTTCCTTGGAATCCCGTTAAAATAAATACCTCGTAGGGTTTCCTAGCTCCGAGGATAGATAAAATTACCTATTACGTTACCACAGGTTCATTGTGCCTCTTTATTTAGTTCATTTCATTTTGAAAAGGGAAAATTACTGTGAGGTATGAACGTGGAACATGGTTTTTGTGAGACAACGGTAACAAAAGTGTCGCGTATTGCGCAACCTTACAACGGCGTTGATGTCATTATTGAACAATAATTATACGTTCCACGAATAGAATTCATTAATTCGAGATGGAATTTTTAAGTCATTGAATGAATATCTATTAATTTCCTAATAAAGTTTACATAAAGCCAACGCGAAATATTCGTTTTTTTTTAATAGAAAAAGTTTTCTCCTCCTGCACCTTTCATCTAACTTTAATATTTAAGTAATTAATTTAGTTGTTGTTTAAAGTTTGTACCAACACGCCGCCCACTGCAACTCTCTTCGTCTAAAACATTGAGAGCTAATCAAATATGGTTAGCAGTGTTTATGCAAAACAGTAATGAAGAATTGACTGGTATTATTTTAGAAGAGATGAAAAAAATTCTAAAAATCGGAAGCCAATAAAAATAAATCATAAAGTGCTTAACTCGACTTCTATAGAAATTACAAATGAAAATCCACTGGTTTTCCTACGCCTTTAGCAACTGAAAATGGAATTATTTTTCAACACTAACTACTGACTAAACCAAATTTTTAATGAAAAAGTAAATGACAACATTAAATATATATATATATATATATATATATATATATATATATATATATATATATATATATATATATATATATATATATATATATATATATATATATATATATATATATATATATATATATATATATATATATATATATATATATATATATATATATATATATATATATATATATATATATATATATATATATATATATATATATATATATATATATATATATATATCTCACGTATTGATTCACGGATGGAAAAATGTGATGACACTATATTCCGGGATATCATCCGTTCGCTCGTTGAACTCCGACTGGAATCCTGCATCCGACTGGAATCCTGCAAGTCTTGCATCCGACTGGAATCCTGCAGACGTTTCGCCAAAATCTCACTTGGCATCTTCAATGCTCGCGTGTTCGAAGTGTTTTCGGAACGCGAGCATTGAAGATGCCAAGTGAGATTTTGGCGAAACGTCTGCAGGATTCCAGTCGGATGCAAGACTTGCAGGATTCCAGTCGGATGCAGGATTCCAGTCGGAGTTCAACGAGCGAACGGATGATATCCCGGAATATAGTGTCATCATATATATATATATATATATATATATATATATATATATATATATATATATATATATATATATATATATATATATATATATATATATATATATATATATATATATATATATATATATATATATATATATATATATATATATATATATATATATATATATATATATATATATATATATATATATATAACAACATTAAATATTTGAAACCCAGTAAGGATGTCAAAAAGCTACTGGGCTACTGGGTGATATTTGTGCCCTTCGAAAGTATTGTAAAACAATGAATAACGAAATTTTATTTCAATATTAAATATAATTTGCCATCCTAAATAAACAATTTCCGTTTTATTTGATAAATTAATTTGAATTTTGAAGCCTTATTTGAATATCCAATAATTCATATTGTTTCATCTTTTTTTTTTCATTTTTTGTTATGGCAGAAAATTCCATTGAGTTTCAAGCTAAGCAATACCGATTAGCTCACTCATGGCCTAGAAAAAGATCTTTTTAACTACTTCAAGCTTCAAAAAGCATTTAATGAAAAACTTCGAATGTGTCTCAGTTTTAATACAGAACTCATAACAGTATAACCATAATTAATAGAAAAATATTTTGCAAAGAGCAATTTTCAGTATTTTCTCATGGTCGATTTAATTAATATTTTTGTTTTCAAGTTATAAAGACCACTTGTTTCCCTAATACCGTACCTTGCTGAGATAGCAATAGATTAGATTAGCAAATAGCTGTTAGAAACCGTTTTATTCATTTGGCTTCAGGTAGTTTTTCGCCTATTAATTTTTAATGTCGTTATTACCCGCTTTTTCTTTTGTTACTTGGTATGATTTGGTATTGCATTATTCTGGTCGAATTTATTTTAGAGCAGCTGGTACTCGGCAGCTCCGACGATAGGTTCGATAATATTCGGCCTCCTGTTCGGGCCGCTAGCGGACTACGTTATCAAAAACCAATATGCGTCCAGGGTAAATGCGAGACGAATTTTCCACGGGATCGGTAAGCACTTTTCCTCGTGCCCGTTTTCCTAATGGTTAGACGAATGCAATTTGCAAGTGCTGATGATATCGTTGGTCTATAATAAAACTCATTGCTAACTTTTTAATGGAGCTTTTAACATGTTTTGTAAACTTTTCTTTCATAGAAGGAAAATTAACAACTGCTCTCACACCACTACACAAAAAGTACATATGTCAATTTTATTACATTTTTGGAAGACGCTTTTATAAAAAGTTGGAGTCTTTTGTAATTAAAATTAAAGCATTGTTTTGCCAGAGGTAGACATACCCAAAATTCTTTCTTATTTATTTACGATAAATTGTCACCAATTTTCTTCACAATAGTTTCTTTTTCTTTTCTCTACGAATTTAAAAAATTTACGGGTAGGGTCTGTGGGTGTGTTATGCGTGAGTTACTTATGGATTAGATTATATCTCACTGGTATAGAACAAAAAATCTGTTTAAGGAATGACAGTGTATCTGCAAGGCAGTTGCGTCAAACAGTGAATACTGAGCTGTTGATGTTGATTGAGTCTAGCCACTTGCAATCGTGCTTAGTGTATAGGATAGAAGTAATTCTTTAAGAACTGAAACAAAAAACCTCTTTATAAACTCTTAGCATTATTTTATTATCACTACTGTGCAGTATTTGTGCAATATTCAATTTTATTATACTATAATTTAAAAGAAGTGTCCTCCTTATCAATTTATTAAAATTCCATTTGGTTAGTTTTCTCGTTATTAAATCGTGTTTCTAACTCACAGTCAAATACCCAATTTTGCAATTTTTATGTGTTTGTTTTAATCTTGTTACAGGTTTGTCGTTTTATTTTATTCTTCAAGTTTTTGTGATTTTCATGATGATGGAGTTAACAACTAGTAAAAATTAATTTTTAAATTGTTTGTTTATCATAGTAAATTGATCTAGGTATGAGTAACATTTATGTTTGCTTGTTAATTTGTACTGCGACCGGTCTATTGGTAGTAATAACAATAATTTCAGGTTGTTTCGTTCCGGCATTGATGATGGTGTGCTTATCTTACGTCGAAGACAAGTACGCGATCGTCACCCTTCTGATAACGGCCGTGAGCGCAACCGCCGCATTGAACTGCGGCCATTGGGTCAATCTTATCGACATATCGCCCCGATATTCGGGAATATTGGCGGGAATAGCGAACGGTGCCGGACAGTTCGTCGCCATACTTGCCCCACTGCTAGTGCATTTCATTGTCAACGATGAGGTAGGTTCTCAATGTGTGGTCAATTATTTAAATAACAATTAAGCGAGGTAAATCCGCATATTAGGGAATTAAACTTGCGGATAGCAACATTAAAAACGGAGAGAGGGGAGAGGCGCCCAAGAGTACGCACTTAGTCCAATTGTTTTATTTACACAGCTTTTATAGGCATTAGCAACACCATAAAATGTTTGTATGTTCTTTATGGATATGCTAGAATACCTAATGAGGGTCTGGAAGTCGTTGTTTAATGTTTGTATATTGTTTTTGAAAAAGTCGGCTTATGCCCCTTCTGACCCTATCTAGTTCTTAAAAGTACACGTTCGGCACCTTAATAGTAGTTTCAACTAACAAAAGTAAATTCATTCCGTAAAATAAATAAAAAAAAAACTACTAAAAACATAATATTAACGTATATATTATGTTATACGTAAATAAGTGAACAATGTCTTGTAGTGTCTTAGCGTAGGTACTTAACAATGATGTCCTACGATAATTGGAAAAATCCTAGTCCACTAGTAACCACAAACTGCACACCCGATCTATTCCAAAATACTGTAACATTTTTTTTTTGTAGCAGTCTCTTTCAAAGTTAAAGTTTTTGCAGCTGCTTTCCTCTGTTGATGTTAGGATTTTGAATGTGAGTGGTGCAGCGCACATGAACCTTTTCAACCCTTTGAGACAACCTTTGAAACACACTTATGAGATCGACAACCTACAGTAAAAATGTACAAAATATATATCTTATCATTATCCGTATCTAAAGCTCATGTAAACAACTAAACGTACTATAGACAAACACAATACGGCAGCCGCCACATTTGAGAATTGCCGACGATGAAAAATCTTCAGTGCATACTCTCAGACAACGCACATTCTGCGGAGTCTTTCTCCTATATACGAGGTGTGTTCAAAAAGTAATGTAACTTTTGTAATTGGGCGGGCTATAATAATTAATCTTCGATATAATTTTTTGTTGTTGGTACACATATCCCTAACATATGTTCACAGCTTCAGCCAGTTTGCACGTTTACTTATTATTTGTGAGATGGAAGCGTTATAGGTGTTTTGAGTGCTCGGCGATTTTCTAAAAAGAAATGAAACATAAGATTTGCATAAAATTTTGTTTTATGAATGGAATACAGAGCTGCAAAACGCTTGAGCAAAAAAAATGTCTAAAAGTGGTATAAGCCGTTCCAAGATGGCCGAGAAGACGCCGATGACGAACCTCGCTCTGGACGCCCTAGCACGTCAATAACTGATGAAAGCGTTGAAGAAGTGAAACAAATGGTGTTGAAAAATCGTGGAGTTACTAATTTAGAAGTGACTGAAGACGTCGGCAACTCGTCGCTCGTGCGCTGCAATTTTTTCCGAAGTTTTTATGCATGAAACGAATTTGGTCCGAAACTGCTTAAATTTGAACAAAAAGGACCATCGAAGGAGCATAGCTCAAGAGCTGTTAAATGACGTCAATGATAGTCCTGATATGCTAAAAAGGCCATAATTTGTTACGACTGATTGGTATGTGGTTATGACATCGAAACCAAAGCTCAGTCGTCCCAATGGAGAATCGCCGAGACCGAAAAAAGCAAGTCAAGTTCAATCAAATGTCAATGTTTTGTATACTGTTTTACTTTATTATCGTGGCGTAGTACATCAAGAGTTTTTACCACGCGGTCGTACGTTCAGTAAAGAGTATTTTGGATGCTTGTATCTAACTTTTTGGCCAAAACCAAAACCACAATCATGCCTCAGTCACCATAGTCCCCGGACAAGGCCCTCTGCGACTTTGTCCTATTCCAAGAACTCAGGAAACCCATAAAACGAAAGAGGTTTGGAACTACTGAAGAGATAAAGAAAAAATCGCTGGAAGAACTGGTATAGTTCTTTGAGGATGGGAAAAAACGTTGGCATAAGTGTATCTGGAGGTGATTATTTTGAAGAGGACAACATTAATTTTGATGAATAAACTTAATTTTTGAACACACCTCGAATATTCAGGAATTTTGATATATTTGTTATTGTTTTTTTGGTAAAAGGAGAAATAATATTATAGTAACAAATTAAACATAGGAAAGTTTTATCAGAAAAAGTAAGCCTTTTTCTTTTATTTGCTTAATTGAAAATATATCAGCTTATTAGAGTAGATAATTAAGTATACATTTTACTGAAAAATGAACTATTTCTAAATGAAAACTCGTTTTTTTAAACTAACATTTTATTTTTCTAATTAAATGCAGTGTGCAACATTTTGTGTGTGTTTTTTAATATGTTTTTTCTATCTTTTTCTTTGTATTTTAAATTGTGCCTTTTATTTTTTTGCTTGTTTTTCAGCGCCTTTTATTTTTATTATTATTCCTCTTCCCAACAACTATTGTATTATTGTACAAGTTTTATCAAGTAAAAGACGGTCATTCTAAAAAGAATCATGCAGACAAACAACAATATAACTAAACTAAACTAAACTAAATTATGTAGTTTAGCCTACGCACAGGTAGCTCTCCGCTTTGTTTGTAAAAGGTAAATTTCAAAATTTGTGCCAATTTTTTTCTTAACTAAAATGTAATTGGATTATAACTTTAGTTTACATGTTACCAATTAAATTCATTACCAGTGATGTGCACGCAACAAAAAAGTAATGAATGAAAAGAAACTTATTACGCCGGTCTTCAATCTATGAGTATTACGTATTAGTCCATCACTTTAATTTTGTGTGTTTTAATTATTAAATCAACTCCAAAACACATTGTTCAGTTTAGTCTCTATGTACTATTAGAAAAAAAGTTGCAAGAGATATGCCTAAATAGATCTAGTTTATATTTTCAAAAATTCGTATCAATGTAATGTATCAAAAATCAACACGAAATTTAATTTTTGTACTCCCTACTTTAAAATAATAATAAATAATATTCTGGACTGATCCAACTCGCAAAGGGTCGCCTTAAGATCGTTAAACTTTAGTTACAGTATAGTATGCAGAACGTTGATAATACAGGTTTTACGCAAACCAACAGAACATCAACGCGACTTGAAAAGAAAAACCCGCAACTTTTTCTAGATTTTTTGAAGATTTTTCTGCAACTTTAGTTTTCCAACAGTTGCTCTTTTGTTTTTCGTTTGCCGATTAGAGTCGGTCACTGTAAAGAGTTGCTGAGTGTATCGCAACTCAGTCAGTTTAGTGTAAACAACAGTTTGCACGCTTTTTAAGTTTCTGTCAAGATACCGGGTCAGGTCGAGCAATTGTGCGGTAAAAAGGCATATTACAAAGTGATCGATTATTGTATCTGCCAATCAAAAGGGAAATCAATAGATTTTCCAATTATTTATTGAAAAATACCTAACATACAGGTAATTGACGTTTAGTTGAATGTTAAAAATTCTGGAGATTGAAAAAATAGGGGGGGCTTGTTTAAACTTGGTAGTCGGCCATAACAGGTGATAAACTGTATTTTAATATTATATTAAAATATAAATTTAATTTCACTTTGTTGTTAATTGGCAAAAAAGTGAATTGAGAAAACAACAATACTAAAACTGTTTCACTAGTGTAAATGACAGAAAACAACTATTTATTTCTGTTGTTCTGTTTGGTGTCAACTAGTCACTTTGGTGTAAACCCGTCATAATATACTTCGCACTTTGTGACTCTTATTACAGACGTATTGTAAGAACCTTTACAAGTTTCAAACTGTATACTTTTTAGGCGAACAGAGCCCTCTGGAGGACAATATTCATCCTGGCTGCGTTTATTTACGCGAGTACGGCCACATTTTTTATAGCCTTCGCTTCAGCGGAAAGGCAATGGTGGGACAATCAAAGAAGGCAAGTGAAAAATCAGAAGGAAGGCGCGAATACGAACGGTTACTATAATCAAAGCTTTGAGCGTGATAACTGTTAATTTTTCTGTAAATTCTGTAAGTAATAATAAATACTTTATTCCGTTCATACTAACAATTCTAAACGAGGCAACACTCAACACATCAAAACATAATCAGTAAAAATGTCTAGTCCGAGAAACATAAGCATTTTCTCCTCCTGTCTTGAACAAACTTGTTACTTCACGCGTATCACTCGTAAAGAATAAGTGACTATAACGGTTATTCCAAAAATAAATTAAAGCGTCAAAATCACATATAAATTGGCCCGGCCATTACCATAATTAGATTACATTTTCATCCGATAAGATCACAAAAGCATGTGTGTCGGAACGACGCGACGTCTGTTATAATCAGTACTACTTCAAGTACCCCAGTGTTTGAGGTTAGATATTCGTCGTGGGAAGAATGTGATTTTAAAAGTACAATAAAATGGAGGCTACGCAAAATCATGGTACGTAATTATTTTATTACTTGATTTGCATGAAATAATTATGACAATTGCTAAGTACTGAGGGATAGTACCGTGGCTTAGATTTAGTGAGTTCTGGTTTTGCCTTTTGAGGTTATCATTGAGTATTTCTGCAAAAAAAATGGTAAAACTAAATTATCTTAATTCAGAAATGGAAGTATTTAAAATAATACCGCTCTAACGAAAGCAGATTTATTAAAAAAATAAAAATAAAAAATTTATTAACTTTTTCTGAAATTGAAAGGGAAACTCAATTAATTTTAGTGTTTTGGGCGAGCATCGCAATAACACTTACAAATTTCGAAACTGATCTATCTTTATGTTGAAAAAACATTTAGTTTTCTATAAACTATTAATATTGAATATAGTTTCAAAACCTTATTCTAAAAAAAATACAAAATCTTGATCTTCAGAGATCTGGAATAGGGAAATTATATATTTTATTTTTTTCTTTTTCTCATTTTTTAATGAGTTCACTGATTCTATTTTTGCTTTCAGTTTATAAAATTTGCTTTTTTATATTTAAATACCTTTTTATAACTTAAATAATAATTTTTGTCATATTGAAAAAAAATATACTGGTAGAAATATAAGAAAACTAAAGAGCAACTATAATTTTTCATTTTGAACTTTTAGGGAAGTTGGCAACTAGTTCTAGGGTAAAAATGAAATTTACTCAAATGCAGTTTATCTCATTGTTTAATTAGAAAAAATATGTACTTCTTGAAGCCCTCTCCTTGTTATCAAATTTCGGCTAATTTTAGTGATTTTCTACCGTAGACACTATCTCATGGATCAATTATAAATTGTGCAATAGCAATAAGATTTAATAAATTTGTTTCGTGTTTGTCCAATAATCGGTGAATATTTTTGTCTTCACCAGATGGAAAATAGCAAAAACCACATATGTCACATGCCAATAAGTCATATGCGATAGCGCTGATAAATTTTAAAATTTTACATTTTCGGTTTCGACCGACCCACTTTAATTCGGAATATTTGGATAAGTCTGTTTTTATTTTTGAAAACCAAGCTTCGTAATGATCGTCTGTCCAGGTATATAAGGCTTTTTTTTTAATTTTTAATATTTATTTTATATTTACTCGGTTGTCAGTTTTGTTTCCTAGCAATAAAAATGTTACCATTTTAAAATTACTTATCAATCAAATTTGTAACACAGCGCGTTTGAACCAACTAGCGTCCAAGCAGTTGTTCTCATCTAACAATAGTATCTTTTGCTTTCGGTAAACCTCCAAGCTGACATCGCATGTGGGTCGCCCTGGATAATACAAGCAGAAATTTCTATTCGCAAACATTCAGACTTCACAGAGCGCTTTAAATATGTGTGGCAATTCTATTCCTGATATAAATAAATTGATTTAAAATATTTTTAAATTCGCCTTATAAACAAAAACCAAAGAGTTGACATTTATTTTTAATGGCGGAAAGCGAACGGGTTATTTTGGACAAACCGCATAAATTTCGTGGAAGAATTATATTTTAGAACGACCACGTGTTTGCAAATGTGGGTCACATCAGACCTATCTGCCTCTTGGCGAGTTAGTTTGTAAATTTCCTAGTAGAATGTCATGGGTAAGTAATTTTTGCTATTTTTTATATTCCGTGCACAAATTTTAAACCTTTTTCCACTTCGCATGACGAGCAAATCACATGACACCACTTGCTGAAACATATGAACGATATGAAGAATACCAATTTTTTACATTAATGTAACTGAAAAAATCATTTCCTTACAGGCCGGAAGATTAAAATTAGGTATATCCAGATGACGCTCCTATTTTTTCTGATGGGATTCTCTTACGCCATCCGGACAATCCTTTCCGTAAGCATTGTCGCTATGACAGGAAATAGTACGTCCACCAATGAGGATATACCAGTAGGTCGCATACAATGAGAGCGTAAAAATTCCTCTCTTCCACTTACATTCTGTTCACTCTGACATAAAGAAAGAACTGAGCTCGTGTATTTATTCAGTAGATAACTATCAACTGAAATTGAAAAGTGGTGGAAGGTAGGAGATTTTTACGCCACTACTATAGAGTGCAACACGTGTACTATGTTTCAGACCTTTAATTGGTCGAATACGGGGGTTATACTATCGTCATTTTACTGGAGCTACGCCGTTATGCAATTCTTTAGCGGACAAATCGGCCATAACTTCGGTTTGAAGTACGTCCTCGCTTCAGCGATGTTCGTGAATTCCCTAGCGTCCGTATTGATACCCATACTAAGCATTCATTTCGGAAGTGCTGGTATAATATTCTGCAGAGTGATTCAAGGTATCTCCCAAGGTTTCATCCTGCCATTGTGCCACAATATGATCGGAAAATGGGCACCGACCGAAGAAAGGTCGTGGATCAACACCTCGGTATACTCTGGTTCGTACCTTGGGCTCTGGCACGTACGAGTCAGATTACTTTTGTTTAGGTTGCAGTTTCGGAACAATAATATCGATGCCGGTAACTGCATATCTGTCTTCCTCTGGATGGGGCTGGCCGGCTTCGTTTTATATTTTCGGAGGCCTTGGTTTGGTTTGGTGTTTATTCTGGTTGTATTTGAGTGCCGAAAGTCCAGCGAGTCACAAAAGTATCAGCGACGAGGAGAAGAAATACATAGAGAATTCTTTAGGCCAGCGGACTGACGTTGACGATTTGAAGGTATGATTTCCTAATAATGTGTATCTATTTCTTCTCGCTATTTTAACATAAATAACTTAAATAAATACTTCAGAATATAAAAATCCCCTGGAGAGCAATATTCACATCCCTTCCGTACTGGGCCATCATTCTGGGTGCAGTTGGTGAGTCTTGGGGCAGTACTTTTTTGATAACGGAAATTCCGACGTATCTGGAGAAAACTACCGGTTTCGACATCGAAGCAGTAAATATACATAATTTGCCAAACAGAATCTTCCACCTAAACCCTTGTAGACCGGGTGGACTTCTTCAGCGCCTTATATAGTAGCCTTAATTTTCACAATTCTCTACGGACCGATAGCCGATTATCTTATATACAAAGGGTACACGTCCAGGATAAATTCGAGGAGGATTTTTCACGGGATAGGTAAGATTTGCTACTACTGTTTAGTCTCCAATTCTCAATAATCTCCCTTTTAATTCGTTATCGACTAGGCTTTTTCGTATGAAAAGAACAACTCGAAATGATTAAACAAAAACAAGAAAATATCAAAAATCGCCGGAATGTTTTTCTAACTTTAACTTGTAAAATGTAGCTAAACTAGAAAAAATCAAGCTACATGTGATTGACTTTTCTAAAAAAAATAATTATAAGGCACTATGTAGTAAATAAAATTATCCTTTATGCTGGTCTATATAAAGGGCACTAGCGATAGAAATAAATCAAAAATTGTACATGTGCTTTAAAAGCATCACCTAAAATTATTTTAATGTATACAGGATGTTCCATACAACATGGTCCATGTAACAAATTAAAATTGTATTTTCTCTTATTTCTTCATATTTAAATAATACAGTTAGTCAACGCTATACAGGGGGAAATTCTAAAGTTGCACCACATTTGTGTTCAGCAGTTAATTCTATGAATAAAAATTCTGATTAGGTGCAAAAACTAAATTTGACCATCTGATGAGGTTATAGTATATTATGCAACAAGTGCGGTAAACGGCATTTGACTTACGAGTTTATTTGACACGAGCGGAGCGAGTGTTTAATAAACGAGTGAGTTAAAAAGTTTACTGAACGTGTTGCATACTATACTTTTTCTACGACCGTTAGTTTTTGGATACAAAACAACCCAAATACATTCACTGACACGACCGTCAGAATTGACAAACGTCAAAATTCAAAGCGTGGGAAATATCTCCGAAAACATCCGATTGTTCCCAAATGCGTGCGATAAAATCCCAGAAATGTCCGAAGTGGCTCGGATTCATGGGAAAGGAAACCGACGTGGTAAAGTGACGCTTTCCGCACGCTAAATCGGTAGGTAATTAGGTATTTTACAGACGGGAGTAGAAAAAAGTCATTTTTGCTTTTGATACTATTTCTACGAACGTTCCGCATACCTTTTCCATTAAATCTTGAACTAAAACTGCGGATAACGATCTCAATTAATAACGCCGCTACGATTCGCCCACAGAAGACGTGAAATGGACAGTAATTGAAACACGAAAAATGTCGAGTGCCTCGCATATATTTTTCAGCTTTTACCTGAAATATATTAAAGAACTTAATTACGCTGATGTACATTAGGATAATTGTATTTCGCTTCGTTCATTACATTTTGTTCCCAATTTTGTTGCTTTTCAGTTGTAACGAAAGGTATGGGCTCTGGTTAGCTTTGGTTAATAAATCTAATTATATATATATAGAAATAATAAAGATATACCGTGCTGGCGAAAACTAAACTAAAGGATTTGATATTTTATCTACAGGTATGAAAATATGTTTATAGTAACTTAACACGCTTACCACAATATTTTCGTAAATGGTGGTATTAGGAAAATGCATGTAAGTATTGGTTAGGATAAAAGGAGAGAAAGTGTAGATAATGCAGCAAAGGAAGAAAACCTTAGAATATATGTTAAGAGAGTGTGAATGACTAAAGGAAAGAGAAGGCATATATATTTATATCTAGTTATAGAAATGCTGAACGCGAAGGGGAACAAATCATTTTTTGCCATTTCATTTTTTTGTAGTGTTATAATTATTGTTGTCATGCTATGTGATAAAATTGGTTGGTAAATGGGAATCAAAAGGAAGTATGGAAATAGAACGAGGGTTCCACAAACTTTGTCAATTTGCTTTTCAGGTTCATTTATTCCGGCTGGCGCCCTTATTTGGCTAGCGTACGAAGAGTCCAGGGTGGGAATCGCAATTCTGCTCATTGTGGCGATCAGTCTGAACGGCGCGATGTTTTGCGGGCACAACGTAAATCATATTGATATATCGCCCCGATTTTCCGGAATACTGTTCGGATTTTCCAATGGCATCGGTCAAACGCTTGCTATATTAGCTCCCCTGCTCGTACAGTTCGTCGTCACCGACGAGGTAATTTTTCATTTAATTTTGACCCGCAGTTTCGTTTGAACTGTAGCAGGACAAGTATTTTTGTCCGCCGTTTGTCAGTTAACAAATATTATTGAAAAATATCGCCTACATTTTAGATTTTTCTAGGTAGGTTTTTCATAGCAATTTTAAAATAAAAAAAATGTTATTTTAAACTACCAAATATCAATTATGATAATAAAAGCTGCAATCAATCAGAATCAATCCAAATATTATTTATAGTCTGTAGTATTTTCGCAGTCCAGAGAATAATAAAAATAGTTATTGTATCGCAGTATAAATAAGGTGAACGCTAAACCATCGTCCAAACTTTGAGTTTTATTTTTTCCGAGTATTGAAAATATGCGAGAAGAAGAATTACATTAACATCAAACAAATGAAAATAGAAATTTTTACCAGATTCTTTAAAAAATATGTCTATGAAAACGTTTTCTTCAACAAAAATAGTACTTTCTATGATTTGGATGACCCGTTGTTTAAATAGCATTTTGCTACACTGGCTATTTTTCTTTTCTTTTAATTTTCTTTCTTTCTTATCTAATTATTATAAAATCTTTAAAAAACAGAAATGAATTTAGTGGTCTATCTATATCTAGGGTTCAATTTTCCGTTTAAAAAATTATATTTGCTTTATACTGATCAAACTGACAACTGTATAAAACAAAAAACATTTGCAAAACTCAGCAGTGTTGCGAAACTGTTTGAACAACAAAAATATTATTTCACATACTTTTCCGTCCAATGTGATAAACTGGATAGAAAATATTATTTTAGACCGACAAAAGTTTGTGGAGAATAATGTTCATCGTCGCAGCAGTCATCTACGCGTCCACTGCTATCTTCTTCATGATAAATTTGTCTGCGGAGAGGCAGTGGTGGGACTCGGGCAGGGAATCCAGAAACTCTCTAAATCTGGTAGAAAACAAGGAGAAGGATAATTCGGAAAAATGTCTGAGTTAACTGATTGGTTAATATGCGATATTGTTAAAATGTCTTGTTAAATAAAAATGTAGTTTTCAAACGAATTGGTTTTTTTTTTAATTCTGCTAGACGTACAACAGATATTCATGACGTCTTATGAACATCTGCTTGCGCCTACTAAATAACTCACATATTACAGAAGTCAACGTATAAATGACATTTTATGTATATATTATCAATACGAAGAGACATCTAAAGATATCTAAAGATATTATCTTAAACACACACATAGACACAAAAAATCATGAACATCATCTAGTATAAGCCCATTTAGGACACCTTATTGACGTCTCGGAGAACAGGTCTTTAAAATACTTTTGTTGCTTTGCAGGCACTCAGATATAATCAACACCCAAATTTGATGTCTTTAAGATATCATATTGTAGTGTCTCGATTACTACTAAAATTTAGAATTGTTAAATGAGGAGACCTAATGATAGATACTTGTAAATATTTTGAAAAACCAGAAAATTTGGTACAGTCCTTTGCATCAATGGTTTATCTTGTGTCATCAATTAGAATATGTAATTTATATGGAAACTAATTTTTGCACTAGTGTAGGAAGGTAGGTGTTAATAGGAATATTGTAAAACGATAAAATGAGAAATAAACAAATAGAAATATTTCCTTACTATCACTGATCACTCCGCAAAATCGAATTCATAGCTGGAATACGACAATACTGTCTTTTTCCAGCACATACACATGAAATTTATAACGGAGAACGCATATAAGTATAGGGAGAAAACGGAAACAAATTAAAATGTCTGTGTTTGATGCTTGGAAGGAAGATCAGTTACTAAACTGTGTACTCTCTACGCAAATGACCTAAAGCCTTCAAACCTAGTATTTGGATATTGACAAGTAAATATTGTATTAACAAAAATGAATCAAATCCTGGGGTTTAATAATATTTTCCAATATTTTTTAATTCCAAGAGCATAGCAAAAGATCCATCTATCTATCTTTAAAAATTCCTAGGATCACAAGCTTGACTCAAAGGGGGGTGCCCTTATTAAATGTATATTAAGTTACATAGCTCCAACGGATAATATTGATAGAACTAAATACATGCTATTGCAATAAAGGAATAACCTTAATATCTTAATACTTAACCTAACCTAAAATAGCAGTTGAGGATGTAGAGCACTATTAGAGCCAGTTAACCAGACGTGCATAAAAGCAGGACTCGCCAGCAACATTTAATAAACTAAATTCATGACAACACGTAATGGCAAATAAATAGGAAGTATTAGCTAATATAAATATCTCGGATCAACTACAAATGACCAACTAGTACTAGACCAAGAAATTAAGATCAGAATAGAAATAGCTCTACAGGCATACGTCAAATACTCTTCAATGTTCGCAGAGGAATAAATACTTGCATTTGATTCAGGTTCATGAAGTGTGAAATGCTCTGGACACATAGAATGATGAATTTCTAAGAAACACTGGACGCCGACGAAAACTTCTAATCTTAAATGAGAAGCAAGTGTGCCAAGAAAAAGAAAACTGATTTTGCAAAATATTTACATTGATTTAAGATTCTGAAATCGTTACAATACATAAAATCCATTTTAGGGAATAGTTAAGTGCGATAGGGCCTTGTATTCTTGTTGGGTAGTTTTGTGCAAAGGTAGAGGCACTATATTTTCTGATAGCTATATTGTTTCAACTAATAAATGTTCAGTTGAAGACAATCAACATTCAAGGTAGTAATGGGTGTTTTTTTTTCGATGTATAGAACTTTAAGTTGGCATTACTGTTCAAGATGGAGACCGATTTAACAGCTGTCAAGTGATTTATTCTCAGTTTGGTTTGGCAATTCATTCAAGATTATCTTTCACATAAATAAAATTCATGTCAATCGAATAATCCATCGTTGTTTTATTGCAACTTAAAGTTCTATGCATCGAAAAAAACACCCCTTATATTACCATTATCATTTTCATCTGTTTGCTTAACGGAATGAAACTTAGTATTGGGGCATCTTCACGAGCGGCTAATACAGCGGGTAAAAATAAGTTGAACATTTGAAGTTGTACCACCGTAACTGCGTTTTAAAACGTGAATGATTTTAAAAATGCAGCAACTATAAAACCAGTCAATTGAACCTCTGCCGCAAAATTCGTTGTTTAGACCGCAACAAACATCGTTCACCGCATGTAAAGGTTTAGACATCGAACATTTATAATACCATCAGTTTAGACGCGGTCTGGGGCTTAGGGGTGAGTACACTCGAAAACACTAAACAAACAGACCCAATAATTGAACACAAATTCCGAACTTTGGTAGTTAAACAGGCGTAGCGCGAAAACGACGAACTTTGACATTTACATTCGAGCCCTCATATGCTTAGACAATGGAATTAGTCGATTGATTTTCGAACAGGTAAGGGATAGGCACGTAGGGTTTTTTTAATTGGATATTTAAAAGCAATAGCATGATGGGTTCCGCTATTTTTCCATCGTTTTTTTTTATGCCTTTTGCTGAAATACAGACTTTCTTGGAGAAATATGAACCTGCTCTAGTTTTTTTATACCTAAGTCAGTGAACTCAATATTAACGAGAATGGCAATAGCGCAATGGAAAAGTGAGGTAAATTTTACAATAGAAAAAGAGAGCTGGTAATGGGAATTCTGGTATTTTCCTTCCTCATTTATTTAGCGATATATACATATTGTTATTATATATGTTAGATGAGCAAATATATTTCCTTTAAAGATTTGTAGAAATTGCTTTGTTAAAATGCTTTGACAAAGTACCCTCTACAATATTATAATGTGCAACAAGTGGGGAAACGGCATTTGAATCAGTTTATTTGACACGAGGGGAGCGAGTGTTTAATAAACGAATGACTTAAAAAGTTTACCGAACGTGTTGCATACTCTACTTTTTGTACGATCGTTAGCTTTTGGGTAGATTTTTGCAAAACAATACGAATACTTTCACTGACATAACAAATGTCAAAATTTAAAATCAAAATCTCCGAAAACATCCGATCGCTCCCAAACCCGTGCGGTAATATCTCGGAAATATCCGAAGTGACTCCGATCCGTGGAACAAAAAACTCACGTGGTTAAACGACGCTTTCCGCAAGTTAGATCGGTGTTTAATTAGGTATTTTACAGAAGGGGGTAAAAAAAACGATTTAACTTTAAAAAACTCAAGCATGCGTCTTTATCTTTTTTAGCGTCTTACTCTCAATAAAATTTGCATTTACCATAACCATTCCAGAGTTTACTGATCTAACCAGTTAGGGTTGCCAATTTTAGTTTGGTGTTAAGTCCATTTTTTCTAATTTTTCAATGTCAATATTAATCAATAATAAATGTAAGACAAATCGGTACTGATGACAACTTTGTTAATTCTTTTCAAAGTAACTCCCGCAGGCTGTTGAACTTGTAGATATATATCATCTGGAGTGTTGATTTTGTGTCTCTAACGTTCAGAAAAATATACTGCTCGCTGCCTCGCTGACAACTTTTTTAGCTTGGGATTGATTTTTGATCTATCAATTTGCAAGAGTAGACAAATTTGTTCAGTTTTGTTAGGTTAGGTTTTAGCTGGGTGCACGGCTTACGACGAATCTTTTATTTTCTAGTAACTTATCAAAACGTATTACACAGTGAACATTTATAATTTATAATTCGATGTCACAAAAACTCTTTAAAAGATTTATATTTGTAACCATTTTTTTTTTAATAAAATTCATTTTCGCGTCTGACAAATTGGCATTTTGTTTCTGTAGTTTGGGAAGAACTCGGAAAGTGCTGTGAGTTTTATAAATAGCTAAATATATAGGTGAAAATAAATTAAAAAAAGATCAAGTAATTGGTAAAAATAGATTACAAAAATTTTCTTAATTTTTTTAATACCATATCATGGTACGAGTAATGTAAATCAAATGCATCCAGAGCATCCGCATAGGTCCCTCTAAATCTAATGGATATATTTTCAATGAAACTACGTGACCTACCTCAGCGTTATATTGGAAATGTTATCGTCGTAGTTTCCGATGGTCCAGTTGAGCAAAGTCTGAGACTCCAATTGACCTTTAAATCCAAATGGGTTGCAATTTTTCATTTTGTGATGCACAAATTCTGCCGACATCGACGAAGAGATCGCAAAATCGACGATTGGCCCAGGAGTATTCCGCGTGATGCGTACTGAAATGAAGACAAGACAATTTCAGAAACGTATTGTAATGTGTCGTTAAAAAAAAAGTTTCGCCAGATTTATGGTATGAAATTGCAGATTTTTGATTCACCTTGTATAATGTATCGTCATTATAAGATGAGTAAGTTCTACAATCACGGATTGTTAAAACCAAGGAAAAAATTATTGTTTTTGGATAACTTTGTTTACTGGATGTAGATGTTAACACAAGTTTGCCAATCAACCTAGAAATTTAGAAAAATTTTTTATCAATTAAGATAAAAATCAGTACAATAATGAGCATATTATAAAACGCTAATTCAAAGCGCTTCCTCAAATTATTTATTTAAAAAAAAAATCAAATTACTAAAGTTTAGGAGATCATAATTTGGTATTTGCTGAATTTTTGAAATAACAACAATAAATAATTATTGTATTCTGGTGGAACAATTAATAAAAAAAAAATTTACTGCTGTGTATAGTGCGTTTAATTTGAAATAATAAAATTGGAGTTTGTAATTTTCTATGGACGACGCTGCAAAAACGCCGATAATTTTATTGTCATTTTGTTGTTGCTTCTTTTCGTAGTGACGTCGCAACCATCACCCGCTGGCGCTTTGCCAGTTAAAAAATGTCGCGCCGTTTAGTGTATTGAATTTAAATTTTCGCATTTCCGGCCCTCGTTACCCCCAATTTCATTTGCATTTCGAATGTGTTTCGCAAAATATTCGCTTAAGCTCGAAAAACATTTAATACCGTCACGAGCAAATTAATTAACCAGTGCCTCCGAAAATGTACGTTTTCCGTAGTGCTATGTTTCATGGGACGTGGTATTGCGTAGCTTATAGTTTTTCCTGAGAAAAAGGGACCTTATGACAAATATGCATTGTTAAATTCAAACTTGAATATATTCTAGAATGAAATAGCAAATTTTGAATTCCGAAAATTCAATATCGCTTGTCAAATATTTAGCTTAATTGAGCTCCTAGTGCACTAGTTTAATTAGATTAATACATTATTTAATCAAACAAAAACTCAATTTAACACCAATTATTTATTAGTTTGCCTCTCCGTTCTACTACCTTCCCTTGAGTTTTGAACTAAGCCTATCTATTTGACAAACACTTTTAAAATACTGGTTTTTAAATTCTAGCTAAAAACATTATTTTTATTTTACAATTTTAATATTCTCGCTTTAAGTAAGCATTTTATCCGTTTTCCTTTTCTTGGTTAATAAGTAATTTTTTCAGTAACCTGCCAGTAGCATTTTTTCTAAAGACTTGGCAGCTGTCTAAAGTCATGCTCGCGTTGTAATTTCAGGTTCCTAATTTGTTCACTGGTTTTTATATTTCCTGAAACTATTAGATAACAGTGCCTCTAGGGCTTACCCTCTATACCAGGGATGTCAAACTCGCGGCCTACTACGAACATTTTTGCGGCCCGGCCAATATATCCGCAAATAATAATAAATACGTGTGAGTAGCGTCCGACGATAGCCCACGATAGCCGAATGTAGCCAAACACATGGTCTCAGTTCTCTGAACATAGTTTTGTACGATATACATGAATCAGTGCAGGTAATAGGAATAATTTTGTTTTAATATTAATTATAACTTAATTCATAGTACTCTCATTTATTTATACAGTTATTCCGTTTCTCTGGTAAGTTAATGTTAACATTAATATTTTATTAAAATGTTTTTTTATACATTTTATTAAAATGTATTATTTTTTCTTAACAACAGCGTATTTATTCCAGCCCATTGTATTCAGTATGTCTGTATTAAAACCAAGTGGTAGTCAAATTAAACGAAAAATCATTGACGAACATAGGATATTCCAAATAAAATGGGAATTAGAATACTTTTGCTGTGAAATAAAAGATAAAATAATCTGCTTGATATGTAAAAATACTATTAATGTACCAAAGTTATATAATATTAAACGTCATTACGAACAACACCAGTCAAAATATAACGATTATTAAGGATTAATGAGAGAAGAAAAGTTGAAAGAACTCAAATTACGACTGAAAAAGCAACAGTTGATGTTTAGTAAAGTATTGCAAGAAAGTGAAGCGGCGGTACATGCAAGTTAGTCGTTTCCGAGTTGATGGCTAAACACTCGAAGCCTTTTACTGACGGTGATTCCATCAAGGAATGCCTAATAAAAGCTGGAGAAATGGTTTGTCCTGGAAATGTGAAGGCTTTTCAATCAATTTCATTGTCTCGAAATACAGTTGCGGAAAGAATTACTGATTTAGCCGCCAATTTAAGTGATCAGATTAAAGCAAAAGCATCTAATTTCGAAAGTTTCTCCATTGCCTGTGACGAGAGCACGGACATTAGTGGCAAAGCTCAATTAGCAGTGTTTCTTCGTTCTTGTGACAAGAATTTTAACATTTTTGAGGAATTACTGGAATTAATACCGATGCCTGGTACTACCACAGGACAAGATATATTTACTTGTGTTTTTGAACTTCTGCAGAAATACGAGCTACCTTTGGCAAAATTAAATTCTGTCGCTACAGATGGCGCTCCATCAATGACCGGGAAAAACAAGGGCTTCGTCGCATTACTAAGAAAAAAAATTAGTGAAATTCACGGTTCAAACATTCATCATACGCATTGTATTATACATCAAGAAGTTCTATGCACGAAGGTAATAAACATGGAGAATGTTTTGTCATATATAAAAAAAGTTATAAATTTTATAAAATCTCGAGGCTTAAATCAGAGTCAATTCACTGCTTTCTTAAGCGACTCAGATAGTGAATATTCGGGTTTGTCCTACTATACCGAGGTACGTTGGTTATCTTGCTCCAAGATTCTCAAACAATTCTGGGATTTGAAAGAAGAAATATGTCAATTTTTAAACATGAAAAATCAAGACGTAAGTTTACTTTCCGATCCAATATGGATACAAGATTTACCTTTCTTAGTTGATATAACCAAACACTTAACCGATTCAAATTTATCGTTACAAGGGAAATATCATATTATTACGAAAATGTTTGACATAATTAAAGCATTCAAATGTAAATTAGTTCTTTGGGAAAAACAACTCAAAAATGAAGATTTGACACACTTCCCGAGGTGCAGCATGAACAAAACGAGTTTAGATGATACTTGTTCGTATCAAAAATACGCAGAAAAAATTGCAAATTTAATAGCTGAATTTGAAATGAGGTTTAACGATTTTAGTTCCCTCGAAGACAAATTTTTATTGTTTTCTTCGATTTTCTCAATAAGTATAGACTCAGTACCAAGCCATATGCAAATGGAGGTGATCGAGATTCAATGCGACTCAAATTTGAAAGAAAAATTCATTCAAGTGGGCGTGCCTGAATTTTACAAATATTTACCAGCCAGACTTGAAAATACACGAAAATTCGCATATGAAATTATTTCCATGTTTGGTAGTACTTATCGGTGCGAGCAGTTATTTTCAGTCATGAAAGGTAATAAGTCTCCTATTAGAAACCGTACCAATGATGCTCACCTTGGGTCAGTGCTGAAAGTTATCACTGCAAACATAATTTCTCCAGAAATAGGAAAGATAATAGCAGAGAAGAGATGTCAAGTATCAGGACGTAAACATTAAATTTTTCTTTTTCGTTTAAAAAAAAAACAATATATATATATATATATATATATATATATATATATATATATATATATATATATATATATATATATATATATATATATATATATATATATATATATATATATATATATATATATATATTTAGCTTTTGGTTCTTGGGTTATAGGTCTTTGTATTAAAAGCGATTAAAATTTTTTTTGTCCATATATTGACGTTTCGGTCTTCTATGACCTTCTTCAGAAAGGGGTACAGTCTAAAATTATGTTATAGTACAGTTCTTTTTTTTTACATATACACAACGGAATTACAAAGAACCTTACCAAAAAGAGACAAAGACAAATCTTAAAATTGAAGAGGTAGCATCATATGAAAGTTTATACTTTAAAAGCGTTTGGTTTTGTCATAGTGCCTAGAAATATTATTGTTTTGGTTTTTTCCAACTATGAGAATAAAAAAGTCATACCCTTGATAAAAGATAAAAGTCCAACAAAAAATGATTTGTATACGGCACTCACACACATAATACACACAAATTTAACGAAACAGTTAAAATATATATAAGAGTTTAAAATAATAATAATAATAATAATACCGATACGCGAGGTTTGCTCGCGTCGACGTTACTGTAAAAACATCGTACGATGCACGATTGTTTTGGTGCAAGGTTCAGAGGATATACAGAGTGTTTTTGTTAATTTATAATTTTTTTCTTTTATTTATTTTAAATTATTTTTATATATTATAATTTTATATTAATATATCCCTATGTTGTTACTTCCATTGTTGTTTTATTTCAGAATGTGGCAATATAACTTACTGAGATTGTTGGTGTCTGTTTTCGAATTTATAGAGTTCTTATTTTTTTGGATCTCAACCATTTCCAGAATTTCCCTTTTTTTTTGTATTATTTTCGGTTTTTAGAATTTTTACTTTCGCAAAGTTGAAAGAATGCTTGGTTTCCGCGCAATGACTCTTCAGGGCAGTCGTATTTTTTTTGTCGTATTTGTGACCATTAATTCTGTTTTTAAGATACTGGCTTGTTTGACCGATGTACACACCCTCACAATCGTTGCAAGGTATCTCGTAAATGACGTGACTCTTCTTTTCGTCCGGTATCTTGTCTTTTAATTTACTGAAAATGTTTTTTACCAAATTGTATCCTTTGTGAGCAATAGTAATGTTGTGATTCATAAAAATTTTGCTAAAATTTTCGGACATACTGGGTATATAAGGAAGCGAAAGATAATTTTTTTTTTGTTTTTGTTGGGTGTTGCTTTTTTGTTTAGTTTGGTTATAGAATAGGTGTATACGTTTTTTGAAAATGGTGTTAATTAATCGTTCCGGATAGTTATTTAGTTTTAATGCTTGTTTTGCTTTAGTAAACGATTTTTCTCTGAAATCC